CACACTGGGTGCACTCCAGGCCCCCGGGCTTGGTTGTATGGCTTGACAGTGGACACTGAGGTTATCCCCACCCCGCAGCTCCAGAGGGATCCGAGAGGGCTCCATGGATTGTCACAGGGCCGTGACAGCATTGGCGGCTCCCTGGTGTCTGTCAAGCTTCAGGAGCTGTCCCCAGTGGGTCCTTCATGGGCATGCCGTGTCCCCGCCCCCACCCCCGGCCATACAGTGGGAAGACAGAGCCTCACACAGGGGTGAGGGCCAGCCTCAGTGCTCCTCCAGAGTATGTCCTCACTGGTCCCTGAGCACCAGGCTGTTGGAGTCCTGAGTCCCAGGTGCCCAGTACTCGCTTGGTCCCACCCTGGAACTGGCCAGGGCCACTGCCCCTGATGCCCACTCCGTCCTTGTCACCCACAGATTCTGCATCTGAATTCATTCGCTCACTAAAGTTTGTTTCGCCCTAAATCAGCATGCAGGGCGCTGAGGGGCTGTGGGGGACTTTGCCAGAGGGGTGACCAGTGGGTCACCTGACACCCAGGTTTCCAGCTGAGCGTGAGCAGAGCCATGTCGGTGTCCTCTCTGCATTCTGACTGGTGGGCCGTTTGCGCTTTTGTGCTCTTGTGAGTGATCTGCAATGGTCGTGCCAGAGTGGGAGGTGGTGACACCCATGAGCCCCACCCAGCCTGACCGCCAGGCCTGCTCGGGGTGTGGAGTGAATCCTTGGTGCGTCAGACACCTTTCAACAGAAACTGCAGAGACAGAAGGGAGCAAGGGTCCAGAAGTGTAGGGAGGCCTCAGAGCCCTGCTGGGCACTTCCCCCGGAGCAGTGGGCCTGCGTGCCAGCTCAGAGTGCCTGGATTCTTTACAGAACTTGGTACCAGGGAAGGGGACCAGGGTGACCCCTGCCCTCCAGGCCCCCAGCCAGCCAGGATCCCTGTGCCTGCCGGATGTGGTGCTGTCCGTGGGGTCCCTCTGTTCCCGAGCTGTCTGAACCTGGGTCCCCGGGGCTGGGGACCTGCAGCCCAGGCCAGCCTGGGGGCAGCGAGATGGAAGTGGAAGTGGGGCGTGGTCCAGAGACCGGGCGCTGTGCCACTGTGGCCTCCTCTTGGTGGCAGGCCTGGGAAAGGATGAGGGGCCTCAGCTACAGGAGGAGGAGCCAGGGGGACCCCAGGCCTTGCCAAGGGCCCCTCGTGCTCATTCGCATGGACACTGCAGCACTGGGCCAAGGTCACCTTCAGGTGGGGTCTGTGATTGCGTCCGAGCTGGCCGAGGTGACTCACAGGCCGCCTGCAGGTCCCGCCCAGCCTGGGTGCTGGGACTTTGCCCCTGCCTTGCAGCTTGCCCCTCTCCGGTCCTCGCCACTGACCCTCGGTGGGCGGACTGAGATCCCAGCGTGGGCCTCACTAGTCTGGGAGAGGTGGGCACATCAGCTGCCTGGTGGGAAGCGGGCAGCACCGGGCCCGCGTGGTCCCTGTGCCTGCCCGACTCAGGGATCCCACTCTCATCCCGCCCGGCTCCGCTCGCTCGGGGACTGGGCTTCCCCGCCTTCCTCCACGCTGCAGCCCCCACTTCTTGTCTGTGACAGAGGCCATGCCGTCACTGAAAAGACTGTTCAGTCTCACTGAAAATACAGGTGACGGAAAAGGAAGGCGTCCTAGTGTGTGGACACTTGCTGCCCTGCCCTGTGTCCCAGGGAGCGGCCCAAGTGTTTGGAAGTCTTGTTTACCTTGATAAGAATCTGGTGGTTAAAGAACAAATCTACCTCCTAAAAATGCTGATGCGGTCTTGTGACCTGCGCCTGTGGTTTCCGGAGAACCGGCTGTCACCCCGCTCTCCTGCAGGTCCTCCCCGCGGTGTCCCGCTGTGCCTGTGCCCGACTGCCTCCTGGCAGGTTGTGCCCGACTGCCCCTAAGCCTTGGGGTGTGTGGCCCCCTCCTCCCGTTCCCTGATATTTTGGTTCCGCTTTCCTTGGCCTGGAGGGTGGCCGCAGGGTCCCCCGCAGGCAGCTCTCTCCGCCTTCTCCCTTTTTGGTGGGGGAGGTGAGCTGCACCCCACCCGCCATTTCCTCTGTGATTCTTCTTGTCCAGCTCTTGGAGTGCAGACACCGTGTGTCGCTCGTGCCCTCGCTCGCTCAGGGATGCGCCAGCAGCCTGCTGCTCCATGGCCTATCCCCCCTTGTGTAGGGTCCCCTGTTAGAGTGGAAGGTGCCTGTGTTTGTGGGTGCGTGCAGGTGTTCGTGGGTGCGTTTCCCCGGGAGGCTGGGGGTCTGCCCTGGGGGTACTGTTGAAGCCCTGGTGGTATCTGCACCACACTCTGCTGTGTGCCCCCGCCAGCTCTGCCAACCTGCACGCTCGTGTTGGTGTGTGGTAGCAGCAGCAGTGTGTGTGTGTGTGTGTGTGTGTGTGTGTGTGTGTGTGTGTGTGTATGTTTGTGTGTGTGACAGCGGGGTGGTCTGTCCTTCCCACGACAGTTTTCTGCTTTGAGTCTTGGAGGGCAGACAAGCTGGGCTGGAGGGTCAGGGCACAGAAGCCCTGAGGCTGGAGTGGACCACAGCATCAGGCCAGCCCGAGGGGTCAGCCCAGGCCTAGTGGTGGCCCTGGCAGTCCTGGCTGGCCCTGCCACACAGCCTGTTTTGGTCAGCACCATGTGCCTGGCACTGATTTGGGCATTGGGATCTGATGGTAACCAGGACCAGGGCACTCCCCGGGACACCTCTGTGCAGCGGGGGGACAGCCAGGACAGCTGTGATGGCAGCCCAGCCAGCAAGGTGATAGGACACTTCCACCCCGGGCCAGGGAGCTGGGCTCCCAGGGTGCTAGGTAAGGACCTTGGGGCCTTCCAGAATTCCATGGAAGGCCCTAGTGGGCAGGAGGGCCAGGAAAGCAGCTGTGAAAGCACCGATTCGGGCTGCAGGGTGTGGCCTGGGTGAGGGGTAGAGGTGGACCCGAACTTCTGGAGATGCTGCCGGCTTGGAGGGTGGTAGCAGGAGCAGCACCTGCTGGGCTTCCTGAGGGTCACCGGGCTACTGTGACGTGTGCTGCAGGAGCGCACGAGCCTGGGGGCACAGTGCACCTGCCAACCTTCAGGGCCCCCGTGCGTGCCCTGCTGCCCACTGAGGAGTCCTCCCTGGTGGGGTCACCCACTCTTGAGCCCAGCAGTGGACAAGGTGTGATGTGATGAGTGATTCCGAGCCTGTGAGTGGGAGGGGGCCTGAGGAGCCCACACAGAGGCTGTGGGAGAGTCCCTGGCCGTCCCCAGGGCCCCTCTGGTCATCCAGGACTAGGGTCACAAAGAGTGTGGTCACCGTGTGCACCTCCCGATGCCAGCTGAACAGAGATTTTCCCAGGCCTGGGTGTGGCACCACAGATCTCAAGTGCTTCTGTCTCCAGCGCTGGGGACGCTGTGGACCTGGGCCTGTCCTGCTTCCTGTCCTCGAGCCTGGTTTCCTGTGACAGGGCGCTGTCAATGGAACAGTGTTGGGAATCCACTGAGCAGTCTGCACGGGGCTCTTCCTGTCCTGTTGTCTTCCTTGCCATTCTTGCTAATACTGCTGTCACCAGCAGGTGACTCTTTGGGGCGGGGATGCTGGTGAGTGAACCCAGGGCCTTGGGCACGCTAAGCATAGGCCTTGCCACTAAGCCCCTGCCCGCCGTGACTTACTGAAGAGGAGGCCACGTGAGGAGGGGGCAGTGCTTAGCTTGGAGCAACTCCCACATGGCCTTTCCGTCGGTGGGCAGGAGCAGGATTTGAATCAGGACCCCCACTTTTCAGGGTCAGCAGGAACCCGGAGGCGGTCAGCATGCCCCCCTTTGTGGGTCTTAGCCTGAAAGCTTTTGGCTGGGTCTACGATGGGGGCGGGCGATGTGTTGTTAAAAGAGTTGGTGTCTCACCCAGGGTAAGTGAGGCACCTCCACCTGGTTTTTGGGGTGTCTGCATGTCAATCAGGGCTGTCTCGCGAGGCCATGGTGCCCATGGTGCCCGGGAGCTGGGGAGGCTGTCAGTGTGTGGCTCCCCACTGAGGGAGACAGAGCTGCTGCCCTGCTGAGCACGCCCAGGCTCTTCCTGCTGCTCACTGTCTGGAGTCTGGGGCCAGGCGAGGGAGTGGCTGGGTGGCTGCTGGACAGAGGCAGAGCAGAGCCTGGCCAACTTGGAAGAGGTGATGGGCAGGTCCTGGTTGAGTCACTGAGCGCCTGTGAGAACAAGGGGTGGCGCTGCAGCCTGCTGCCCCCCCCCCCAATCTAGGCAAAGGGTTCAGTGCCCCCAGCAGCAGAGATCTGGCGCTGGACCCGAGGTGGGTGGTGCCCAGGGAGAGGAGGCCAGCAAAGCTTTAATGCATTGAGTTGATGCAGTCGTGTTGGCTGTGTCCTCCCTGTGACCTGGGCTCTTCCCATAAGAGCGCAGTTAACCTGTCCTGACCCAAGAAAAACCTGCAGCTCGGGAGGCCAAGCTGCCCTTTGCTGGTCACATAAAAAAGCGGCAGAGGAGAAATGGTGCCCCACATTTCCCTGCCAAAGCCTGTGGGCTTCTGTTGTGCAGGAGGAGGTCATAGGTGTTTGTCATAAATACCGCGTCTAGCTTGATGTCTGCGTCCTCCGGGGGCTCCTGTCTTCCGCCCAGCCCGCCGACAAGCAGCGCTGTCCCTTTAAGTGGGATCCTCCTCGGGCGCTTCCGGGCGGCAGGGGCGGGGTGTCTGCTGTGGGGCGGGGCCTGCCCAGCTCCCCTTCCCTTTCCCCTCCCCTCTCCCCCTCTCTCAGCCCCAGTGGTGCTGACACACAGCTCAGGTTTTCCTTTTCTCCGAGCTGCTGATTCATCCCCAGGCTGGAGCTGGCGCGCGGGCCGCGGCTGGGCGGAGGACTGGGCTCCTGGGAGGCATCCCGGCCTGCAGAGATGCCCAGGGGGCCCATAGGAATCTGGCCCAGCGTGCAGCCGAGCGCAGGGCTTGGCCGAGGGGCCACCGCGAGCCCAGGTGCCGTCCCCGCTCACCGCTCTGGTCCCTCCCGCAGGCTGCCTGAAGGATGACCGCATCGTCTTCTGGACCTGGATGTTCTCCACCTACTTCATGGAGAAGTGGGCGCCCCGGCAGGACGACATGCTGTTCTACGTGCGCCGGAAGCTGGCCTACACAGGCAGCGAGGGCAGCGCGGACGCGAGGAAGGTGGGTGACCTGTGCCCGGCACCCAGAACCGCCCGCCCTTCCCCGCAGCCCTGAGTCCTGAGGGCACGCGGCCTGCACCAGCCCTGCCCTGAGACAGCGCAGCCCAGTCTCTCCTTCGCCCAAGCGCGTTACTCAGCCCCGGGACCCCGGAGCGCAGTGATTGTGGGGACAGATGTAGTGCGGGCGCAGGATGGTGTCCCTTCCACTGACTGGGCCCTCTTCACGGCTTGGCCAGCGCTCGCCTCTGTGACCTCCTCCCTGTGGACTCCAGAATTCAGCTGGGCAGCTAGACAGGAACCCGGGGCTCGGAGATGCAGCTCCTCAGCCCGGCTGCTGGGGCAGTGAAGGGGACAGGCCGTCCACGCTCCCTTGCACCTTCAGAAGTGTAGGACTTTGCACAGGGTTCAAGCATCTCGTGGACCAGACTCGGAACTACTTTGTTCCTTTTCTACCAGAAAGCAGAGGGCTGTAGACCTCGCTGCCTGCCTGGCTCCAAGCCCAGAGACCCGGCCCTGGCCCTGGGTTTGCTGCTCAGGCCCATGCACTGTGCCAGGAGCAGCATCCTAGCCTCCTCCTGCGCTCAGATCTTGAATGCATGCAGAATAAGCCTGCTGCAAGTGGACAGGCCTGGTGCCTCTGGGGGGGTGGATGCTGGTGGCCTCTTGCTGGCTTGGGAGGGTCCAACCAGAGACATAGCCGATGGCTGATGGTCACGGTGAAGGAGCTGAGAGCTGCGGCCTGCAGGAGTGGATCTGGCCAGTGCTGCCTTGGCCCAGAAGGTGTGGAGGCCTGGCAGGGCAGTTTGTGGTGGTGGCGGGGTAAGGTGCCCTGTGGGGTGATGAGGCAGCCTTGCGGGTGGAAATGGGACTTGGGAGCTCAGGCCTTGGCTCCTCAGGTCAGCCCTCCTCACCCGCTCTGCCCCACCTGCAGTCGCCGGGCAGCCACTGTTAGACCAGCTCTGCAAGTCACCATGTGCCTGTCCAGTCGCCACTCTGGGGCTGGGGCTGATACTCCCTGAACAGGTGGGGCCTCCCCTTCATGGGCACCGGGGAGTAGAGGTTGATGTGACCCCAGAGATGCCCTCAGGATGAAGGGCGGGCATCAGGGAGCTTCCTCGTGCTGTGGACCTCGCCCTGGTCCCCAGTCACCCCAGCTGGCAGAGAATCCTTTGTGTGCAAAGTTGTTCTTTGCCCTGGGCCTTCTTGCAGAGGCTCTGGAGAGGCCAGTGCACTATGGAGTCCTCTCGAGGTCACAGCAGTGGTCGGGCGGGCAGGGGCATGGAGGGCAGATCTGTGTCCTGTGGAGGTGGCAGGGTGCAGAGATGGGCAGGGTGCCCCTCCTGGAATGGAAGGGAAGGCAATGCGAGAGCCCGCCTGGGGGCGGCAAGGTCAGGGGAGCAGAACCGATGGGGTGGGGGGCTGGGGGGCGTGGGCACCCACAGTGAGCCACTCCTCCACCCCACCTGCCTTGTCCTCACTGAGCCGTCTGTTGGGGCAGACAGCCCGATAGATGGCGTCCAGGGCCACCAGGGCTCTGATAGGAAAGAACAGGGCTGTAGAGAGAGGCGCCCTCTGCCTGAGGGCTTGTGGGCCAGGGAGGGCTGCGTGCAGGAAGGAGAGAGGGAGGACGCTCCCAAGCAGGGACCAGCCTCTGCATCGTGGGACGCGTGGGAGGCACACGTGATGCAAGGTGTGACACAGCCAGGCAGGTCGCACAGGGTGACATCTGGCGCATTGTTTAGGACAGACGCACTCAGCTGGGTGTTTTCCTGCTCAGCAGGCCGCAGTGCTGGGGCTTGCCTGCAGGGGGCGAGCTTGAGACGCGATCTGGGACCCCACCCCCTCGTAACCCTGGCGGAAAGGGAAGTGCTGCGCCTGCGCACTGCGAGGCCTCTGCGGCAAGCCCCAGCTGCCACCCACTCTCCCCGCCCGCTGCCGGTTGTCACGGCAACCAGCTGGTCTCCCTGCATCTAGCAGGAAAGGATGGATGGGCAGAGCCAGCTTGCAGTGTGGGCGGTGCAGGACGCTGGGATCCCGACACCCCGGGGATCCTTGGGAGGGATTCCCTGGGTTCCCTGCGTGCTCCGCTCACCCTTCCGTGTCCCCAGCAGCCTGCGTAGTCTTGGGCCGAGCGGGTACAGCACCTGGCCGAGGCCGCTCTGTGCTGTGGCCCATGCCGTGAGCCACTGTCGCTCCTGACAGTGCCTTTGGCAGTTCGGGGTGGCATAGACGTCTTCGGTGAGAAGTCAAGGCTCAGAAGGAGGAGGAGCAGCCTGGTGCACAGCTTCCTGGGGGCTGCGTGCCTTTTAGCCGCGGGTGGATTTCTCCAGCATAACAGACAGGCAGCAGGAACATGCCCAGATGAGGCCCTGGGTCCAGACACCTGGGCCGCACTGCCTGTCCATGCCGTCATCCATGGCGTTGCCTGATGTGCCCGCCATTTCCTGTGCGGCTGCCCGTGGACACAAGTGGTGGACAGTGTCCTTCATGCAGTCACTCACTGCTGCTGTGAGTGTTCTGTGTGTCTGTCTCCCCTGGCGGTGGGTGTCCTTGAGGCTCCCGGCCCGGTGTGGACCTGTCCCCCAATGCACACGGGCATCGTCCCGGTGCACAGCTGCCACTTCCACTGTCCACCATCTGCCGAGACCTTCCCTTTCCACTCACTGAGCCGCAGAGGTCGGCTGAGCACTGGCCGCACACACCCTGCTTCCTGTCAGGGGCTGGGCTCTCTGGCAGGGGACAAAGCAAGTGCTGGGGGGAGAGCAGTACACCCAGCAGGGCGATGAGGAGGCCCTTGATCAGAGCTCCGGGGACCACAGCTGCCGGCAGGGACCGAGCCCCTCCCTTTCGGACTTCCCTGGCTTACTCTGAGGCTTGGGGTGGCCTCCAGCCTCGGGGTGCATGGACACTACCCAGCAGGGGTCCCCCATGGTCCTCAGATCGGAGTGCGGGAGCCTCAGGGCGCCTCCAGGTGGGACGCTGCCTGGGAGTCTGTGCTCCCCGCCCCCCGCTTTCTGTAGAGGCCCAGACACTGGCCCCCTGTGATACGTCCTCGTGTGAGACTTTGGTACATTTGCTCCTCACCTGTTACATGGGCCGTGACACCTGCCTTCTGGACTTCTAGAGGCCAAAGGATTAATAATTTATAAAATACTTGGCCCCACCCCGGGCCCACTGCAGCTCAGTAGAAGTCACTGTAGTGTTGTCATTGGTGAGCGGAGGAGGGGAACCCAGGCTCCTGGGGAGGGCGGCCATCATAGCCAGCAACGGCAGAAGAAGGGGGGTCCCTTGCATCCTAGCAGCTGCCCAGCTCAGTGCTGGGGGGCAGAGACCTGACCCCTGCCCCTGCCCCTGCCCCTGTCACAGCTGCCCGATGCTGAGCCTGAGGTGGACGTGGAGGTGTACCGGCGTGACTCCAAGAAGCTGCCGGGCCTGGGGGACCCCGACATCGACTGGGAGGAGAGTGTGTGCCTGAACCTCATCCTGCAGAAGGTAGGATGGGCGGGGCGGGCGGGTGCAGCCGGGGACGGGACCCCTCACACACACTGCCCACGGTGTCTCGCAGCTGGACTACATGGTGACCTGCGCCGTGTGCACACGGGCTGATGGGGGCGACATCCACATCCACAAGAAGAAGTCACAGGTGAGCCCGGGGGTGGGGAGCCAGCGTGGCCAGGCTTCCCTGCTGCCGGGGTTCATGCCGGAGGACGCCCCGCTCCTGCCACTGCCCCGCCCCCCACAGGTCTGCAGGGGTCCCGCTCTCCGCTCCCAGGTCCTGTGTCCCAAGCAGCACCCGCCTCTGGCCTCGGCTCTGGGCAGTGTGGCTGAGTGGCCTGTCCCTGGGGTGGCTCTGGGCCTGCCGCAGGCTGGGGCCTCTCAGCCCTTAAAACCCCTTCCTGGGCTGGGCAGGTGCAGCCTGGCAGGGCCCGACAGGCACGTGGCCTGGCTCCCACTGCCGCCCAGCACTACAAAAACTGTGTTTTGCTCTCTTTTAGCAAGTGTTCGCCTCTCCCAGCAAGCACCCCATGGACAGCAAAGGGGAGGAGTCCAAGATGAGTTACCCCAACATCTTCTTCATGATTGACAGCTTCGAGGAGGTGAGCCGCCGGGCCTGGCTGCTGTGCCCGTGGTTTCCTTTTGGGTGTTTGAGGACAGGGACCTCCTTCCGGAGGACGCTGGGGAGGGGCCTGGACGCCTGTCAGTGCAGCGCCCGCTTCCCAGCCTTTGACTCAGCACGTGAGCTCCCCCATCTCTCCCTTAGTGTCCCCATTTGTATCGTGTGTCACGACTGCTAAGCAGGGGAAGCGGGGTCTGGGAGAGGTGCAGCTGGAGGACGGCCCTGGGTGCCAGGGAGGAGGACACGGCTGACCCCGCTCCTCCAGCCAGGCCCCAGGTCGGTGGCCTCCATGCTGGCCCAGGGGAGTGGGGCTGGGGGGACCCCGAAGACAGCGGCAGCTTCAGGCTCTCTGTGGGGCGTGCAGCCTTTGCGGTACCCGAGGCTGGGAGTGACCTTGCAGCAGTGCAGCCCCTGGGAGCAGCAACTCGGAACGGGGCAGGGTGTGGCGGATCCTGCCCGGGACTCCTGGGTCCAGCGCTTGTCCTGCAGGGAGGGAGTCCCTGTCAGCACTCCTGGGCTTTTGACCAAGGCCTGGGGGCCGGGGCCGGGGGGTCTGGGCACCGACTGCTGAGGAGCAGCCTCCTGGGCCCTGGGCCGGCCGGCTCGATAGCAGAGGGCGTGTGGTGGCTCCACTAGTGCGTCCCCAGCTGAGGCTGCGCCAGCCCCTTCGAGGCATGGCTGCTTCCTCCTGGAGCACTGGGCGCCTGGGGACAGTCAGGTGGCCTTGCACAAGTGGCCTGGCCGCACCTGTCCACAGCTCCGACGCCCACTCGCTGCCCTTGATGTCCCCTCTGTGCCCTCCAGGTGTTCAGCGACATGACTGTGGGGGAGGGCGAGATGGTCTGCGTGGAGCTGGTGGCCAGCGATAAAACCAACACCTTCCAGGGCGTCATCTTCCAGGGCTCCATCCGCTACGAGGCGCTCAAGAAGGTGTACGACAACCGCGTGAGTACAGGCCGGGGCTCCTGCCTGCGTGGCCCGCAAGCCGCACTGGCCCTGCCTCATCACGGGGGCCTCTGGCCGTGTGGTTGCCCCTGGCCGCGGGGTCGGCCTGTGTTCTGGCTTCATGGTGCCGCGGCCTCCTGCTTCCACTGGAAGTGAGGGCGGGCAGTCTGTCCCGGCTCTGCAGTCCCTGGGGTGGCGGCAGGTGGCGCAGGAACCCAGCCCTGCCTCGAGCCCCTCCTTGGCCTCCTGGTGCTGAAGGGGCACAGCTGGATGGACAGGTCACTCCTGCAGTGGGGCACCAACCCAGGAGGGCCGGGTGGCAGCGCTGCAGCTGGGCCTGGCTGTGGCCTGGGTCCTCAGGGTGGTGAGGGTGGCATCAGACCTACCGTCTCGGGGCCTGCAGGACTGTCCCCACTGCGCCCGCTCAGGCCGCATCCTGTCCACTGCAGGTGAGCGTGGCCGCGCGCATGGCCCAGAAGATGTCATTCGGCTTTTATAAGTACAACAACATGGAGTTCGTGCGCATGAAGGGGCCCCAGGGCAAGGGCCACGCCGAGATGGCCGTCAGCCGCGTGTCCACCGGTGACACGTCCCCCTGCGGCACGGAGGAGGACTCCAGCCCGGCCTCACCCATGCATGAGCGGGTAAGGGTAGCACGCCCAGAGTGGGGCTCTGCCCACCCGTCTCAGCAGGAGGCTGAGAGCAGAGGGTGTGGCCTTGAGGCACAACACATAGTGGCTGGTGTTCCCTGTGCTTCCCTGAGGCTGCATGGCTGCCTGGGGGACCCCGGAGCCCTCCAGGGAGCCCGAAGGGGCAGGGATGACCTGGCCTCCTCTCCCACCAGGTCGGGCACTGGCTCCCATCTGCCCGGCAGTGTGTCTGCAGAGTCCTGGGCCTGTGGGGGGGCCCCTCTGGGGGCTCTGCCTGGCTGTGCACCCCATCCAGGGTGTGGAGTGTGGGCAGCAGCCGTGCCCATCGGCCACTGTGGGGCCAGTGATGCAGACCTGAGGGCCCGGGCTGGAGAGCTCAGTGCCCCAGTCCTGGTGTGAGCAGGTCGGCCCTGGGTGCGGCCTGCCTGGCCCTCCTCCGGGAGACACTGCGGGCCTGGGTTGGGCTGGGGTCCGGGCTCGGCCGCCCTTACTCTCTGAGCCCAGCCTGCTCATTCAGAAACGGGTGCAAAGGCCTGCTTCCCGGTGGGGGCCCCTGGCGTAGATGCTCAGGTCTCCACTTCCATTACTGGCTCGGAACCGGCTGCCTGGCTGTGCCCGGCGCTGGCCAGGAGGGGCAGTCACTGTACCGGCCTTAACCCCGCCTCTCCCTGGGTGCCACCCGTCTTCTGTCTTTTGTGCTTCTGTTCTTTTTGGTAGATTCTGCAGTCTGTTTTCTAAGCCAAACAAAACCAGAAAGTGCTGTTTTTCTGAAGACCCGTGGGAACCCCGGGCGGGACTCTGCTCTGTGGGTTGGAGACCGAGGCCTCCTCTTCTCCCTGAACCCAGATCGCCCCCCTCGGTGTCCTGGCCAACACGCAGCTGAGCCCTGTGCTGGGTAGCAGCAGGGCTGAGGCCTTCAGGTCTGCTGAGTGACCGCACCTGCCCTTCCTGCCCAGTGAGAGTGCCCAGGACGGGCAGTGGGCCCATGGGCAGCAGGCTGGAGCCCTGGGCACTGCCTCCTGTGTGTGCCCTGCTGCTGCCCTGTCCCCTGGGGTCACTTGTAAGCCCTGCACGGCTGATGCAGACTGAGTGTCTTGTGGTTTCTGGGGTTTGTTTTTCTCGTCTTCTGAAACGTTCCCTGGCTCTTGGGAGCGCCGTCCAGAGCCCAGCAGCCGCCAGGGACTCTGATGGATGTCAGAGCTGTGATGAGGAGGCTGGTGGGGCTCCGAAGTCGCAGGCCCAGCTCATCTTGCAGTTCCGATTCTTGTTTGCATGGGGAGGAGGGAGGAGATGGGCCAAGTTCCCTCTGCCTGGAACGCCCTCCCCCCCTTCTTCACCTGGCGAACTCCTACTCATCCTTCAAGACCCGGTTTGAGCAGCACCTCCTCCTGGAAGCTTACCCTGCTTTCCCAGTCGGTCCATCCCTTCTGCCTCTGTGCTCCCACGTCCCATGCTTCCCTTTCTGTCTCAGAGCCAGCATGTTGTCCACGGTTGTAACTTTGAGTCTGACACCCCCAGGAGACTGTGACTCCTTGAGGGCAGGATCGGTGTCCTGTGCCCATCTGCGCCTGTCCTGAGTGGGTGTGGAGGGTGTTGGTGAAGGGAGGAGACAGACAGGCACAGAGCTCTGCAGCCACAGTGTCCGCTGGAGGGTGCAGGAAGCGAGAGGCAGGCATGCAGCAGTCAGGAGAGTGTTGGGGTGCTGGGGGAGCAGGCCAGAGCTGACCCGTGTGTGCCCACCTCACTGTCTGGGGCCCAAGGCAGGCATGGCCACTGCCACCTTCGCTTCCTCAGCTCGGGTGTGGCCGAGGCCGGGGCTCGCTGTCCCTCCCCCGGGGTGCCTGGAGGAGCCCCTGTGTGTGGGGTGGTGGCCGGGCCCCTGGCCCTCACCCGAGCGGGGCCAGCAGAAGGCGGCCCAGGCGGCTCTGTGACTGAGCCCCTCGTCCCCAGGTGACCTCCTTCAGCACGCCCCCCACGCCCGAGCGGAACAACCGGCCCGCCTTCTTCTCCCCGTCCCTCAAGAGGAAGGTGCCCCGCAACCACATCGTGGAGATGAAGAAGTCGCACTCGGCCAACGACAGCGACGAGTTCTTCCGGGAGGACGCGGGGGCAGGTGCCGTCCCTTTGTTCACTGGTGTCCGGAGCGCATTGCCATGTCGCAGGCCCCTCTCCCTTCTGCACTTCTCCCTGGCCTGTGTGCCCCGCTCCAGAACCTGCGTCCCGGAGTCCTCAGGGCTGCCCGGCCAGTCCCTGGTCCCTGGGGACACACTTGTCCTCCTGTTGGCCCCACTGTGTCCTTGAGATCAGTCCTGTTGCAGGGGGTCCTGCAGCCAGACATCAAGTGTCCTCTCAGTCCCTCGGGCAGGAGGGACTGGCCACTTGGCAGCCCTTGGGGAGCGTGTCAGTGTCACGGGGTTTGGGAGCTGGTGGGGGAGCAGCATCCACCCCCCAGCCCCCCGTCCTTGGGCTGAGGCCCTGTGGGCTCCATAGAGCCCATCACGGTGCAGATCCTGGCCTGGTCCCAAGCCAGGTGGGGGGGGGGGGACCCTGTCCTGACCCGGCCCCGCCCCGGGCTCACTAGGGCACGCTGGCACTGAGGGCCGGCAGAGCTGGGTTCCAGGGAGGCGTGGGAGGAGGGCAGGCGCTGCCCGAGCCGGTGCTGCCGGCTGGGGGTACATGCCCGGCCGGTGCCCGGGCCCTGACTGCCCTCTGCCCTCCAGCCGAGCTGCACAACGCCACCAACCTGCGCTCCCGGTCCCTGTCTGGCACGGGGAGGTCCCTGGTCGGGTCCTGGCTGAAGCTGAGCAGAGCGGACGGGAATTTCCTTCTCTATGCACACCTGACCTACGTCACTTTGCCGCTGCATCGGATCTTAACAGGTGACACGCAGAGTCCTCAGGCAGGCGGCTCCTGGGCCGGGGTGTTGGCAGGCGCTGCCCCCGGGTTTCCACGCGGGGTCCTGGGCTCCTGCCTGAGCGGGTGCCTGCCCGAGTGTTGCCACCTGGCTGACCTGGACCTGCAGCCCTGCTGGGCGGGCGCTCCTGGTGCCCTGGCAGCTCCAGCTTGGCCCCTGTGGTCCTGAGCCAATGCGAGGCGTGGCACCGGTGTCCCCCTCCCTGTCAGGGGAGCTTGGGTGGCCGCGAGTGCCTGGTGCTGAGCCTCGGTGTCGCCCGATTCCCCCCGCCCAGACATCCTGGAGGTACGGCAGAAGCCCATCCTGATGACCTAGCGTGGCAGAGCCACACGGAGCCCTGGCCCTGCGGCCCGGGGACTGCTGCCAAGTGCCTACCTGTCACCGCCACCGGGGTCTTCTGTGACAACCAGCGCCGGGGCTGCAGCCAGGCAGGGCCGCTGGACTCCGGGGCCAGGGCCGATCCACAAACACCAGCCCAAACTGAAGTGCCTCGTCCTCCTCCTGCTGGCTCTGCTCCTGCCTGGCGCCCGCCCTCACCCCTGCCCGGCTCCAGAACACCCTCCGCACCCAGACAGGGCCAGGGGCGCCAGGAGGCCATGGACAGCAAAGGACAGCCGGGCCCAGAGCGGGCCTGGCTACGGACCGCGTCCCGGTCAGACAGCAGGCGACACCACCCTGCCGGGCACTCCGGGCACTCCGTGAGTCAGACTGGCCCTGAACGTCAGTGCCACGCTCCCCTCCAGCCCTTCCTCACGGTGGGTTCCCTGGGGAGATGGGGACAGTGACCTATTCATCGGCTTTGCCCTGGGCTGGGAATACCTCGAGCCACGCCCAGTCCCAGAACCTTCTCCAGCTGAGCAGACAGCCCCCACCCTCCCAGATTGGCCTTTGCTTCCAGCCAAAGAACACCGCCAACACACGCCTCCGCCCTGGCTGCAGGCTCCGGGCCGGCCAGCGGGAGGGACCTGCAGAACCTGGTCCTGAGGCCAGCTGGGAGGGCTCGGTAGCCAGCGTGTTGGAGGGGCCGGGCTTGGCATCCTCCCTGGGGGCTCCGAGCAGGTGGCGTCCTGTAGGGCAGGGGGCGGGGGGCTGTGCAGTCTCCTGGCCCAGTTCCCTGTGGCCAGTGCGCCAGGCCTATCGCAGGCCACCCTGCTGCGACCAGAGCTGCTTACGCACGTGCGGCTGCGGCCTGGTGTCTCCCCAGACCGGAGCCTTCCCTGCCTGCCTGGGAGCTGGCTGCAAGCTGTGTCTCTGTCACTGTTCTGATTGGAGGTCTATGACCCTCTGATGGGCTCTGGGCCCTTGTGGAGACCTCAAGTCGGAGGAGAGGGCAGCTGTTTCCACTCTGGGCTCCGGGGACAGGACTTCTTTGGGGCTTTCTCCAGATTTTGTATATTGTTATTAAAAGCAAGCTATTGCATTTCATTCTGCCTCAGTTTGCCCACCTGTAAAATGGGGCTAATACCACCTACCTCACCGCAGTCTCCAGGGTTCAGATTGTGGCTGGGTCACAGTGCAATTGTGGGTCATTCCTGTCGCTCAGGAGGAGGCCCTGCCTCTGGTGCCACCCTGGCTGGGCAGGGGATGGACGGGGTCGCCAAGAACAGTTGCAGGCACATGAGAAGGGGCTCTGCAGGTCACAGAGATGTGGGGTCCTACTGACTGACTGACGTTTGCTGCGCTGGCGGTGGAGTCCCAGGCTTCGCCCAGCCAGTGCGGAACCCGAGAAGTCGCCCTCTGTGGGGCCACGGACACCCACTGTCTGGTACTGAGCTCACAGCACGCTCAGAAGCGCTTGCCGCCCGAGCGCCAGCCGTGAGGTGAGGTCTGCTGTGTCAGAGTAATAAACGACCCAGTAAAGGTCCCGAGGGACAAATGACAGTGAGGGCCGGCGCCCAGCAGCCTCGAAGGCCCAGCTTCATTTTGCTGGCGACAGGCCTGCCCGCACAGCGTGTGCTCCCATCCTGGGTGGGAATCTGAATTATTAGTTTTCCTTTGAGGAAACCTAGGCGGCCCTGCTGCAGCACACCAGGAGGAAAGGGTTTTGTTGTGTTTTTTCCTTACAAACATGTCAGGATCCAGAGCTCCAAGGGGGTCTGGGGACAGCTGGGGACAGGCTGCCTCCAGCTGCACCTCTGGCGGCCTTGGCTGCCTGCTGAGGCGGGCAGAGGTGGAGTGGGCGGTGGGCAGCCCTGGGGATGAGGAGACCCTGTGAGCACTCAGGCCGGGGCAGGGAGAACCCCTCCTGGGTGTTTTTACCCTCAAAGAAGCCCCTTAGAATCAAACTCCGATCCATCTGCCCTGCCGTAATCACTACTCCAGTTAGGAGAAGAGTTTTTGTTGTTGCTGTTGTCTTTCTGAGACAGGGTCTCTATGCAGTTCAGGCTGGTCTTGAACTCACTTTGTAGCCCAGGTTGGCCTCAAACTCAGTGATCCTCCTGCCTCAGCCTCCCGAGTGCTGGGATTACAGGTGGACGCCATCATGTCCCGTAGAAGACTAAAATGGAAGTAGAAACTGTTGTTCTGTTAAAAGGCATTGGGTCCCTGTGCAGTCGGTGTATTCTAATGACTGAAACCCTCAACCAAAACTCCTTGAAGCCTTTTATAGGGCAAACCTGCCAACTTGTGTCATGGTGCACGCCCTCCCAGCACCTGGGAGGCTGAGGGAGGTGGTTACAGGCTAGAGTCCTGCTTGGGCGGCTCAGTGGGCCCTTTGTTTTAAAAAGATTAAAAAGAAGGGCTGGGCATGAAGCCCAGCGTGAAGGCCCTGGGTTCAACCACCAGTGCCACCAGGAAGAGCAGAGCCCCAGCTGACCGAGGTTGGTCGTTCCACTGCCACGAGTCCGTGTCCCAGGGCACTGAAGTCGAGGGTCTTGATGTGACATCGGTTGTCCCCGTCCAGGTTGCTCTTGGCTTTGTCAGAAAGCAGAATTGTTTGTGGACGGGACAGGGGCAGGCCCTTGTGTGCCGGTGCAGCCTGTGGGGGCAGCTGCTTAGGCCTGGTGGCCACCCTGCCCCTGGGGCTGCAGGAGTGACCGGAGGTGCCCGTCGCCTCTTCTCTTCTCTTGCGCTGATTGGTCCTGTGTGCAGCAGGGCCCTGGGCGCCCACAGACACGGCACCCGCAGAGACGGGCTGGCTCAGGGCTGCGCAGGAGGCTCCTGGACCACAGCCCCTGTCTAGTGTTCCATCACCCTTAAGGCGGCTCGGCATTCTCACTGTTAAGGATTTCCAGAGCTTGAGCTCAGAGCATTGAGCTAACAGCTTCTGACCTCCACCCCACTCTGTGCAGGTCCCTGTGCAGGAAGCTGAGCTGTAAATAATCATCCTTCGGGGCTTCCAAGTGTGTGGCAGGAATTAAAGCTGCAGAGAAAGCACGGGGATTTTTTCTCTTCTTTGTTTGCTACTTTAGGTTTAACTTGCCATTCCTACAAAATGTAGCCAAGCAAAAGCACTCCGCCAGCCGCCGTGCCGCGACCGGCCGCACCTTCCCGCCCCGCTGGAATCTGCAGGCGGACTCCTGCCGGCTGTTAGCTTCGCTGTATCGTCCCATGTTTCTTTGCAAAGTCCCTTTGCATGTTACCTACTAGACTTTATTTTCCTGCTGGTCCCCTTCAACCTGTACCTAGTTGTTTTCTGTAACCCACGTTTCAGGTTCTCCAAGGACACGGCCTGCAGGGAAGGGACGGTTAATGACTGAACCTTCATTCGTCCCACAGCCCTTAAATCTCCCCACAGCTTTCACACAAGGTCCTGGCAATCAGCCGTACTCTGGAGCAGTCTGGAGGGGACAGCGTCACATTCCGGGGGTGCTGTCGGCCCCCAGATCCCCGTGCGCCCTGGCTGTTGTGCTGTAGAACACCCCAGGCTTTCTCTAGCGAACTCTGGAAACCCACGGTGGGAGCAGAAGTGGAGCAGGTGGGGACCTTGCGCTGGGGACTGGCGGCTCGGGATGGCTCCCAGGTCCTCCGCAAGGTGCCGTTTTGAGTGCTGCCGGGGACCTCAGCACCTGTGCCCAGCGTCCACTACTGTGAGTTTATCCTGGGTGGGCGCCTGGGTGGTTTTTGTCACCGATGGCACTGTGGTTATGGAGGGACAGGAAGGGAAGGTGTTTTCAGGGGACAGTGAGTAGCCCCGGCAGGCGAGTGCGTCTCCCCTGCACCCAGATAAACTCTGCTCCCCTTAGTAATCAGGGAGGCATTGCAGAAGAACCCCCCCACCAAATCCTCCGCACCCACCCACCCCCGGCCCTCGGGGTCTGGATGGAGGCCTCAGTGTCCGATCCCTGGAAGGAAGGCTCAGCGCCTGGGTGTCCGGGGGCCGGAGCTGGCCATGGGCGCTGGGATGGAAGGGAAAGCTGTTTGGGGGGCTCTTCCTGTGCTGCCCTTTCTCCCTCTGGGTCTGAGACACAGATAAAACCAGGAGTTGCTCGGTTTGAAATAACCATGGCTTTCAGTGAATTCGGTTATATTTTCAATAAACAAGTTTTGCTCAAGACTGGCCAACCCCGGAAGCTCATTCTGTACTGAACGGTCACATCCGTATTTTCAAGGGCTCCCCAAGAAGAGCCCCAGGGACAGGTACCTCTGCAAGCCCCGTCACTTGGGAAGCAGGGTGTGGTTTTATTGAGGGTATGTAGAGACACCAGTCACCTCCCTGGGGGCAGTGATGCTGAGGTGACACATCACCCCCCATGGTAGAGTCCCATGGCAGAGTGGAGGGACCCCCAAGGCGGGGCGGAGAGGCCTTCCTGCCAGGGTCACTTGTTCCAAGCCAGGGGCGGCTGATGAAGTTGCTCTGCAGCTCTGGGTACCCCCGGAACCCGTGCTGCTGGGCTGGTGTGGCCGCACTCCCCAGTGCACCAGAACAAGCCAGGCGTGCACCACACCTGACCTCAAGGTCATTTTTGATTCTCTTCATTTGACCGTGTCCTCAGGAGAGCTCACTCCTTGCCTGAGACCTGAGCACACATCCAGGTTCACGTCTGTTTTCAGTGGGACCGGCCCCCCCCGGAAGTGGCTCATCCCGCAGGGGAGGGGACAGCTGCGGGGCTGCAGCCTGCCCCCCTGTGCTCCCACCCAGCGCGTCACCAGGAGCAGGAAAGCACACATCACACTGCTTCCGTTTACTCCCGTTTATTCACATTTCATGGGCTGTTACACTTCCTCCAAGGGATCGTTCAGAAACTGGTACAAACCGACATGATACTGTCTGACAATTCAAGTATCTGAGCTATAGAAAAGTTTCCTATTTAAAGTCCAAAGCAAACAGTTTCTCCACGTGACGCTCCCCTGTGTGACAGCTCCCCTGCAGTGCTGTCTGCGTCCCGAGTGGCCGGCCAAGCGCCCGTGTGGCTGTGCGTGCTGGGAGGGAGGCGGGACGGGCAGCGCTGCTGACCCAGGCGCCACGCAAGCCGCCGGCGGCAGGAGAGCCCAGGGCTGCGTGTGCGTGCGTGTGCTGAGCACCGAGCACACGGGGCGAAGCCTGCAGTGGGGCGGGGGAGACTTGGTGGGAAGGGCTGGCCTGGCGCACCCGGCCCTGGGTTCCGCCACTGCGGGTACCACCAAAAAAAAAAAAAAAAAGAAAAAAGAAAAAAGCGGCCTTGAGATGCCTTGCGCTTGGGCTGAGACTGGAAATACTGGAGCTGCTGGCAACTGCTCCGGGACAGATGTGTCCCCGGAACCCACAGTGAACAGGCCCGCGGTGTAAACCTGTGCGGAGCTGCGAAGAGTAGGGTGAAAGAGTTCTTCACCCCAGAACAGGTAGATTTTTTTTTTTTTTTGGCATGCAGCATAAAAAGACACAACTGAACAGTAAAATTACAGAATAAAATAATCCTCCTGAAGAAAATCGGCCCATGAATGGCCAGACTTTTCCCTTCATGTAAAACACAATTTAAAATTCTTTAAAAACTGGACCTGCTGGCCAGGCGGGGTGGTGCACGCCTGTAACCCCAGCTGCCCGGGAAGCGCAGGCAGGACCGCCAGTTCGAGGCCAGCCTGGGAAACGCGGCCAAAGTTTGAAAGGGCCGGGAATGTGGCGCAGGGGGAGAGTGCTGCCTGTGTGCACGAGGCCCGAGGCTCATCCCCAGGACCGAAAAAGCAAACCCTACAGGACCAAGCCACGCCAAGCACCATGGACAGCCCCGTGCGCAGTCCCGGGAGGGAAGGCAGGGAACACTGTCCTCTGCGTCACAGGAGGTGCAGAAAACCCAAAGGCTGAGATGCACATGTCAGTGTGAAAAACTACAAAGCCACGGGGGACTCAGCGCTTGTCAAGATGCAACTGGAGTTACAATGCAAAAAAACCCACGCACCTCCCCTTAGGCCAAGTGTGTGATACTACTTACAGATTTTCAAACTAAAGGTGAAAACCTCAGTCCACATTAAACATTCTAAAGCCTGATTCCTAACATTTTGTTAAAAATAAATTGAACTAAAACCACCCATGGATTAGAATTAGCTCCCAACACCACAGGGAACAGGTGAGCCCTCCAGGGGCCCTGCCTTCCCGCAAACGCACACAAGGAGTCTGCGTTCACAGTAAAAGCCACGCAGGTTCCTTTACACAAACACAGACCAACAAGTTCCTAAAGCATGAAAGAGTTATGAAAATACAACGTTTTTCCCTGTAATTTTCACTTTAACAGTGATAGTCTTAGCAGCAAAAACTTGCTGGGAATGTTAGGAAAAAAGCTCCCCTCACCCACTGATTTAAACCCAAACTACGGGGCGGTGCTAACGAGCGTCGCCTGGCACAGAGCTCCTAGCAGGTCGCTGCCTCGGGAACCTGGGGCAAACTCAGCCTTCTGAAACCGGTTCCCCTTCGTCCTGCTTTCTGTTTAAAAAGCTGGATGACCCTGTATGGGGACAGGGCAAGGCCAGTGTTAGTTTACCACCAACCACTTGCATAAAGCGTCTGTAACAAAAACTTGCCAACACCCTCGGATCTAAAACAGAAATGCAAAACCAACAGCGGCTTCCTCCCGAGGCTGTGGGACCCCGGCCAGGAGAGCGCCAGCCTCTCCCCCGGGGCCAGAAGCTGCAGAGCTCCGCGGACTCCCAGGACCTCAGCGCTCCAGCCTCAGAGCTCGGTGCTTCACCCCTAGAACCTGCACCTGCACTGAGGCGTCACCAGGCCACACTGTGAAGGAGCAGACAAATGATGGCCACCAGGCATAGCCAGGAGCATGTCACCAGCACGACAGGACTCATGGGGACAAAGCGGGACTTCGCCCATGAATTCCCGCACGGTGGTCATGTGCCTGTCTCCCCAGGTGCCACAGCCATCACCGGACAGCTGCGCGGAGGACACCAGGACACTCTCCTGCCTAGCCACAGCTCCCTTCCAAGTGGACACCTTTGTCTTTACAAAAGGGTATTTCAGATGGCACGGTGTAATACCCTGTGGTCTAACCCTAGAGGCGAACCCCGAAGAATTCTCTTCCACCACTCTGCAGGCGAGCGCCCGTGCAGCTGTCACATCTACAGGGCTCGTGTGTACTACGTGGCCCCAGCCAAGCGTCCTCAGAAGCTCGGCCACGCTTGCCCTGTTCTTCCTCCGCAGACGGTCACTGCCACAGTCTAGAAGTGATCAACATTTGTGCTTTTTGGCCCACTCCCCTTCTCTGGGACAGAGAGAAGTAACAGCACCTCATGAACAGAAAGCTGCGACACCCAACCTGCGACGCCCGGGACCTCCTTGGCGGGTGAGCGCTGCCTCCTGAAACGAAAAGGCAGCTGCTGGGCAGCCACCGCAGGCAGTGCCCAGGGTTGGAGGCCACGGTGCACAGAGCGGGGGCGCACGCCCGAGGCCCACCTTCCAGCTCAGCAGCCAAACGGAACAAGGGACGTAGAGAGAGACGTCTCGGTCACAGTGTGGCAGCTCGGTGCCTTTGGTAAGAGTGCTGGTGGCGGGCGGCGGGAGGCCACATGGCGCTGTCTTCTGGTCTCTGCGACACTGTGGCGGGCAGCGTGGCCTCCGGGAGAGCACACGGATACCCTGACTGCAGTCCATTAAGACATCACTCAGGGCGAGGTTAACAAACAAATTAACGGTACAAAATCTTCCAAAAACTCTCATTCAAATATATTGTGCGCCTTAGTCCTGCGGAGGGAGCAGACAGTCTGTTGACACTGAACACAGAAAGGGTTTTATTGGCCTAAGCTTCCTCCCAGAAGTTTTAGGTTCCCGAGAAGTCCTTGGGAGGCTGAAGCAGAGCAAAGCTTCGGGCGGCGGGGCAGCGGCGTGGCGACCCGCGCTGCCGGCTCAGGCTTCCTTCTTCTCCAGCAAGACCCTGTGCAGCTCGTCCGCGTCCTCGCTGGTCTTCACCCGGATCAGCATGGTGGCGGGGGCCCCGGCGCTCTTCTCGTCCAGCGGGGGGTTCGGGACGCACACAATCAGGACGTTGTTCTTGCCCGTGCGCGAGCACGGCATGTTGGGCGGGACGAGCACGTTGAGCAGGATGTTCCCTGCGGGCGGGCAAAGGGAGACACGGCGGTACCGTTACGCAGGCAGAGCCCGCCGGAGTACCCGGTGACACGGGAGCCACTTACGCTTCAGGGACGGCTCTGCACTGGGCATCACCGAGAGCCTCACGAGTGGGCAGAGCGGCCTGACGGAGGGAGGGCTCCCTGGGCCGCCCCCTTCACGTGTCCCATGAACAGGATGCGTGGTCAGCGATGAGACACCGCCGCCATCACTGAGGCAACCACAGTGGCAGGAGTGGCAGAGTGGTGACATTTCCAGTTAGCCACAGGGAGGAAATGCTTCTAGAAGTTTCCCTCTGCGCCACAGCCTGGTGGGGCCTGGAGGGCTGACCACAGCTTAGAACTGGGACCCTGGCGGGGCACGGCTCTGGGCTTGGAGCGCGCATCAGGGGTGAAAGTTCTCCCACAGTACAGGGTTCAGCGCGGCTCTGGCTTCGCAGTCCTGCTCCTAACAGCAAGGACAATGGAAAGCACCCGAGCCGAGGGGTACAGCAGCACCTGTCTGCTGAGTCACCTCCTGCACTGTGCACACGGACAACGTGACATCCCAAGCACGGACCCCGAGCCGCCTGGGCCACCCGGAGAGGGCACTCACCTAGGTTGGTGTCGGCCCGCACCAAGAGCTGCGTCTTCTGACTCGCCGTGGGCTTTAAGTGCAGGGTGCCCACACCCTTCTCCTTAAACTCATTGTCTTTCTTGTAAAACAGCTTACACCTGCGAGGCAAAGCGACAGCAGTCAGTGTGAGAGTGAGTCTGCAGGGCAGGGCGGGGCAGGGCAGAGGGGACCAGGGTCCAGCCGGGCACAGGTCCGGGAGCCTCAGCGTGAGCACAGCGCTGGGCGTCGCAGAGTCCCCGCTTCACACTGACGGGAGCCCCGTAACGCCTGCTCTCCCCACATCTGCTGCTCCAGGGCTGGGGTGCTGATGACGGGCCGGACAGGGACGGACCCTGGCCCGCGTCCCCACCACACCACTGCTCCCTGTCACACGGCTTCTCCCTGCTCAGGGCTTCCTTCAGGGGCGGGGACCCGCCGTGTGTGACGGGCCTGGGAGGCACCTGGGGTCTCACTGAGGGGTTTTTTTTTTGGTCTGTTTGAGACAGGTCTGGCCATGCAGCTCAGGCTGGCCTTGAGCTCATTTTGTAGCCCAGGCTGGTCTCAAACTCACAGGATCCTCCTGCTTCAGCCTCCAGAGTGTTGGGATTACAGGGGTGCACCAGCACACCCGGCTTGAAGGATTATTAGAGGAAATAGCCTCGAGTCTGGGTCATCCTTTTGTCGTCCACGTAATCAGAAATAAAAGTAAGCAAAAGTAAGTGTTTGCCTCTTACGAGGTCTCAAAAATTAATAAGGAAACCACAGGCTGCGGTGACGCAGTGTCTGTGTTAGGGGGACCCCTGCCCCCACAAAGCTCCCGAACAGCACACGCATCTCGTCAATAGCGCCCTCCTTCAGCTGGGGAACACAACCCCAGCCCCCCTTGCAGCTTCTTAGAGACAAACGACGCCCCCACCAAACCACAGGGCACCAAGCCACCAGACCTGCGGGCTGCTCCTGCAGTGGAGGGGACCCAGGCGCACACCCCGCGCAGCCCTGGGTATCACCGGCTGGGACCCGTGTGCAGGGCGGGCAGAGGCAACCACCCCGCACCGTGGCCTGGGAGGTCGTGAGGGAGGAGGACGGGGAGGCCGGGACCGCTGCCAGGCAGCCCCCCAGAGCAGCTCTGCCAGGCAGGAAGCCCCCAGCATGGCTGGGCTCACACACACAGGCCGAGACCCCAGCCCCCTCGCACCCCACCCCACACGGAGGCCAGCCCGCCCCTGCCTACTTTTTGGAGTAGAAGGCGTCCTCTTCCTTCACCTCGGTGACCACGACCTTGGGTGGCTCCTCGCTCTCTTCTTCATCTCCACCTTTTACAGAAGCGCCACAGTAAGGGTCGGAGGGAGAGCCGGGACGCAGGGCAGGGCAGGGGCCGCCCGCCCGCCCTAGCTGGGGCAGCCGACGCACTGCCGCAGGCGGGAACCCTTCCCTGGTGTCAGCTCTTTGGGGAAAAGTGGCCGTTCCTGTCCCTGGGGACTGAGCCCAGGGTCTGACCGAGCGACGCTTGTTATTTTCTCAGACAGGGTCTCACTAAATCGCTGATTTCCCAAGTTAGGCCTGAACTCGCAGCCCTCCTGTCTCAGCCTGCTGGGGTGCTGGGGCTACAGCCACGCATCTCCACGCCACCTAAGTATGCTTCTCAGTGGGAACACAGTGTCCTATTTTCATACAATCTCCAATTTGTACAATGCCCTAAAAATATCACCATCAACAAAAAAACCCATGTTATGACACTGAGAGAAAAATCACCTGCCCGCACTCAACGGCTTGTATTCCAGCGACCCACTGGAAAATCAAACCCTTGGGAGCTGGCGACACCTTCAGCCCACGTGCTCCTTGACTGTACTTGTGTCATGCTTGGGAGCAATCAGGGCAGCAGCGGCGGAGGACAGGGCAATGGAGTCTTTCCACAGGGCAAGTGCGCCGGAAAAGGCGACCAAAGCCGGATGTCAGGGACAGTCACCACTGGAACGCCACCAGCTCCTCTCTGGTACCGAGGCGCCGGTCACTCCCTGCTGCAGGTCTGAGCATGTGCAGCAAGCACGGGCTCCACTAACAGTCTCCAGGTCCTGATGCACAGGGCGTGCCATCAAGGCTGGCTTGGCGGCCACATCTGGAATCCGATCTCTAGGAGGCTGAGGCACGATAACAAGTTCGGATCCCGTCTGGGCAACCCAAAGACTCTTTTGGAGACAGGGTCTCGTGTACTTCAGGTTGGCCCTCACTAGCCCAGGCAGGCCCCAAACTGGCAGTGATTCTCCTGCCTCAGCCTCCCAAGTGCTGGGATTCTTAATGACTTACTGAGAGCCTGTCTCAAGATAAAAAAATTTAAAAAGAATTGAGGCTACAGCTCAGTAAGAAGGCCCCGGGTTCAATCCTCAATTCCTCAAAAAAGAAAAAAGTAAAGATGACCGTAAGCTAAGTGACAGACAGGTACTTCCAAGGGACAGCCTGCAGACCAAGGGCCCGTGTCACCGCACCGCTCCGTTTTCCCTCCCTGCAGCGGCAGAGAAGAGCGTGCAGGGGGGCCCTGCCGACCCCGCGGAACAGCGAGGGAGCCCAGTGCCAGGCGGAAGCTGCACTGTGCACCGGAGCCGCAGCTTGCAGGGCTCGGTGGTGGCACCTGGAGAAGTGTTCAACCTCGGAGTGTCCTCGAGGACCCCGGGCTCCGCTCAGGGCCAGCAGCACCCTCGGGACAGGGCGAGCCGGGTCAGTTTCCTGCGGCTGTGACCAGTCTGCCTCTCTAATGCGTGGCCCAGCTCCACTGTGTGGCTTCTCTGAGCCAGACCTACACACAGATCCGTTCAGGGAGGCCCCAAGTGGGCTCAGGCCATCGGCTTGCAAACGGCGTTTGGGTCCTCTCCCCAACACCTCCGCAGCACACGCGTGCCCGGCCTCCAACGGCACTGCGCCCCACACAGAGCACACCCCACCACGGAGCACACCCCGGAGTCAAGGCTCGGTGTCAGTGTGACCACAGCCTTCCCCAGGGCCAGCGTCGTGCCTGCCCGCGCGGGGAGCCCCTCACCTTTGCTCTCGCTGCCCCCACCTGCGGCTGGGCTCTCCAGCGTCTTAGTGGGAAACGGCGGGGTGGCCGCTTTGCCTGGGGTGACATCTTTGCCGAATAAACCAGTGGTCCCCGAGGTAAATGAAAAGCCGGCGGGGGGAGCAGGGCTCAGGGAGCCTAGAACCGAGCTGTCCAGCTTCTTGCCGAAGTGAAATGCGGCGCTGGCCGCCTGCACAGGGTCCGCCCTCCTTTCGGAGGCCACCTCCGCCTTCTTCTCGGGGGCGTCCTGGCCGCGGCCGCTGAACAGAAAGGCCGGCTCCTGCGGCAGTGGCGCCGAATCCGCCAGGGCGGCAGGCTGCAGCTCCACGCTCATCCCGCTGCCCCGGCTCTCGGAGCCGCCACCGGCCCGACCTGGGCTCTGCTGCCCGATGCCCGCCAGGTATCGCTCGTAGTCCTTAAAGACTGGCGTGAGGTCGCAGACGGGGTTGGCGTCCACGTGCTGCACAATCCAGTCCCGCACCGAGCAATTCAGGGCGGCCAGCTGCTTGTGACAGGCGTTCCCAGGGCAGGCCTGGCCAGGGGCGAGGCTGCAGGAGGGCTGCTGGCTGTCGCTGTCAGCTTTGGGGCTGGCAACAGTTTTGTCCACCACGGCAATGGGGCCATTTGCAGCAAAAGTACCTACAGGAAATTAAAGTTTGAACAATTCATTCAGAAGCTGATTTGATGACGCCATCCAACTCCTTTCTCCGCTCAGATTTTACTGGTACACTTCAGGTACACACAAGGATCACGCTCAGGGAGAATTTGTACCCGAACACGGAGGAACTTCCCCCCTTGCCCACCTCCCGCCGCCCCTCTCCCCCTGCCCACTTTTCCTCTCTCTCTTCTCCCTTCTTTCCTTTCCCCCTTCCCCTCCCTAATTCCCTCTCCCACATGAACAGTTTTTTCCCATTTCATAATACCAGAATGTACATTTTGGACCTTTTTTACACTTTTCAGTTTCTCACAGAAGAGAAACAATGCAGCATTTACACGAGACTGATTTATTCACTTCTGAGCATGGTCTCAGGTGCATCCACTGACTAGGAATGTCTCCAGCTCAGCCTTCTTTGGTGGAGTAGGACTCCACTGTACATATATATTTTTTTAAATACCCGTATTTTTATCATTCTTTGTTGATTGACATTTGGGCTGTTTCCAACATTTGGCTGTAACAAACTGTGCTGCTACAAACATGGGTGCGCAGAGGTTGCTGTGGAGGGTGCTTTTGAATCTTTCCAGAAGACATTAAGAAGGGCAACTGCTGGGTCAAATGGACCCTCAGTCCTAGTTTGTGAGGAACGTCCACAGTGGCTGCACCAGTCTGCCTCCCACCAGCAGTGGAGGAGGGTGTTTGTCTGACTTCTTGATCCTGGCCGTTCTTTCCGGGGTGAGGTGGAAGCTCAGCGCTGATTTAATCTGTATCTCTCGCGTGCCCGGTGACGGCGAGCACTTTCCTTCACACGTGTTTGCCGTTTGTGCTCCTCCCTCTGAGAACTGTGTGTTCATCTCCGATGCCCATTTTAGGGCACGCTCTTTACATCTGGGAGGACTCATTTTTTGAGTTCTGTACATGTTGTCGATAGTAATCTTTTGTCTCAGGAATAGCTGGCAAACGTTTTGCCACGTTGTGGGTTATCTCTTCACTCTGCTGGTGGTTACTCTTGCTGTACAAAAGCTGTTCGATAGGATGAGATCCCAGCTGTGGATTCCTGTGCAGTTGGGGTTTTGTTCATAAAGTGCCTAAAATGTCTTCAAGAGTTCTACCTATTTTATCTTCAAGCCATTCAAATCTTCATACCATTGTAACTCTATATTTTTAAAAAATCCTATCCTACTTTTATCATAGTTCAATAAGTACGTGGCAGAAGTTACACTGATATTAGGAACTGATTATCAATTAACTGAGGAACAATACGCACCGTACGTTCATATTAAATGGTTACACTTACTTATTTAGGCTTTTTTTTGGAAACAGGGTCTCACCAAGCAGTGAGACCTGGCCTTGAGCTCACTCTGTCGTGCAGGCTGGGCTCAAACTCACAGCCATCCTCCTGCCTCACCTCCAAGGGCTGGGGCTACAGGCCTGCACCACCACGCCCAGCACCGACACTGAACTGTTAAAAAAACTGAATCTTTTCCTTCAAAAGGATGTTGGTTTCAAACAGAACTGTCAGCTCAGCGGGTCAGCACACAACTTAAATCCTCCTGGTCTTGGGGATGAACGTGTATTAAAGGAGTTCCAACCTTAGAGTGCTCTGTACTCCCTGCTCAATGCAGACCGAACAGGCGCTCTCAGCGTACTCAGCTAACCCAGGCTGTGGTCCAGGGCCCTTTCTAGCATTTCAGCCCAGGCCCCGGGTTTCCACGGGAATCCCAAGGGTTCTCACCCAACTTCCTCCCAACAGGATCAGGCCGTCAGCGCGTCCTGTTCCAGTCCAGCCAGGAGGGCGCTGGGTGGGGGACAAGTCACGGGGCTCCTGGTGGCCATCCTGGCGCAGGGCACACAGAAGGCCTGGGCACACCAGCAAGGAGAGGGTGGCAGGAAGGGGGTCTGCTCTGTCTCTTCGCTGTTCACCTGCATGTCATTCCCAGCCTTCGGGTAACCCAGGCCCCCGCGCTCGCCCGGCCAGCACTCCGCCTGGGCTCAGAGGTGCACCCCCTCCCATAGCCGGAGATGCGGCCCGGGTCAGGAGCCTCACCAGGGCCAGAGCTGGACCCGACGTGCCGCCCTCCCCATGTGTCCTAGGCCAGGGCTGGCGCCGTCACCGTCATGGGCGGCAGGGAGGACACCTACTCACCGAAGGTGGCCCTGGGCTCCGTCGCCCCCGCGGTGCTGGTGCCTACGCTGGTGCCGTTGGCCAGGCCCTCCAGGGGCTTCCCGCCGAATGCAGAAAAGCCTGCTCCTCCGGAAGGCACGACCAGACCTTTAAAGCCCTTAAAGGCGCCTCCGCCGTCGGACTGCAACGGGAGCAAGGGCACAGGTCAGGCAGGGCCGCGCCTGTCCCCAGGTAAGCACCGAAGCGACCAAGCAGCATCCGGGCTCCAGAGGCCCTCGGGAAACTGCTGGCAGCGGTGCCAACTGGAAATGAGATGGGAGACTAAGCGATGAGGCCGCTCTGTCACCCAGGGCTGCCTGCCGAGGGCAGCGCGGAAGGGCAGGAAGGACCCTACTTTAACTGTGCTGTGCCCACGGAGACACGGCGCAGGGAGGCCAGGGCAGCAAGCCCGCAGGCCACCGCCCGCCTCCGGCCAGCTCAACCCCGCCCCCCAGCGAGCAGCCATCACTTTCCCAGCCAGCACCCGCCGGGTGACCGACAGTGTGTCAGCCCTGGGTCCAGCTGCCTAAGGACTCCGGGCGTTTCGAGCTGCTCTCAGCAAAGCAGCGTCTCACCCTCAGACCCGGGGCGGGCGCTGGGCGATGCAGGGGGGGCCCTGCGCGCTCCTCCTCCTGCCCGCCGCAGAGCCGCTTCCCGAGCAGCGGGGCCGCGGGCCGCCCCATCTGCAGCCTGGAGCCCACTCGGGCAGGGCTGGGCGGGCGCTGCCCGCTAGCTGCAGCTGACTAAGCCTCTCCTTCAGATACAGCAGCGTGCACACCGCAGGGCGACCCGCTTCCACCCACACTGGGGCAGGTGGAGCCCAGGGCAGCAGGCCTGCCGTGACCCACCACCAGGAGCCTCGTTTCCAGAGGGGCCCGCCTGCCGGCCTCCACGCTGCACAGTCACAGTCATGTGGCTGCACTTTCTGATGTCACTGATGCTGATGTTAACAGTCATACACTCAGGCAAAGTAAGGGATGAGCAGCCTCAGGCGTCCGCAGCTGGCTCCCAACCCCTGCCCCCACACCCACAGGCTCTGCTCCAGTGAGTGGCCTCCGGCAGTGTCCCCAGCCGCCCCGGGCATCCTGAGCACAGGGAGCACCAGCACCATCCCCAAGCGCGGGCATGAAGAAGCAAGGGTGGCAGGGCTGAGAGCAAAGGCCCGGCCCGCCTGCCCCTGCCTGTCCCCGTGTGGCCAGCACCGAGCCGGCCTGCTAAATGAAGACAGGAGCCCGGCCTCTGGGACAAGCCTGCCCCTGAGCGCCGACAGGGGACACCTATCTACCCAGGCCGGGACTCACAGCGGTCTCCTGCGCCCCGGCCCTGCCCTGCCCTGCCCTGCCCTGCCCGGCGGCTCGGCGATGGCTCCGTCCCGAGCCCGGCACACAGCACTGCGCTCCCGCCTGGCACACACAGCCTCCCCGCCCTCGGCTCCTTGGCCCCCAGAGCTCCAGAGTCCACTCTGGCCCGGTGCCTTCTGGAGGACCCATGGGAGCGTCCGCAGGGCCTGCCACCTCCTCCCCGGTGAGGCTGCCCACAGCGCCCTTCCTTCTCCGGTCCTCGCCGCTTTGCTGGGTGTGGCGGCGCCGGTCTGTATCCCAGGCCTGGAGGCTGAGGCAGGAGGACTGCTGCAAGCTCTGGGACCCTCAGTGGGAGCTATGTGAAGACAGTCGTGCCAAGTCACTCGGTATCCTCCTGCCTCAGCCGCCCAGACTGCCACCTTTCGGGCTCCTCCTCCCGTGTCTCGGCTCCACACTCACAGCAAGCGACCTTGGCTTAGCAAGGGTGGAATCAGACCAGGAAAACTGGACTAAAGAAAAAGAGGCTGATGTTTCAGTTACACCATGGCGACCACAGTGAATTGGCACAGCGTCCAATGTCGCATACTTGAAAACCACCCGGAGGGATCTGAAAGCACTGGCACCACAGCAAACGGCACCCATCGCTGTCCCGAACACACTGTGCTGCGCGCCACACACACCACTTCACTGCCGCTGAGGCAAAACCCGATTTTAAAATCGGGTGTCCCGGGGCTCCGAGGCCCTTGGGGCCCTCCCTCTCCCTTTCCCCCTGAGACCGCTCACTGCTCCCGGCAGGCCTGGCCCCCAGCCATGGCAGGCAGGCGCTGGCACGGGCTCCGCAGGGTGACCGCAGGCAGTCCAGTCTCCCCGAAGGCCCTCACTGTTCCTTCCTCGATGACGTAAGGGGTCCTTTGTATTTTTTCTTGAAACGTGGGAGCTGATACACACTTTTCCGTTTAAAGAAGGGAAATACAAGAATACAATTCATTCCTAGCTTAAAAACACCTTGAAAATTGCAGAATATAATTGAGGTTTATTCCAAAACCAGGCCCAGGATGTGCAAAGCAGCTTCTCCTGCCCGACCGCAGGCGTGCACGCCACCTACACCACAGTCCAAAGTCGGGGTGTGTCTGGGGGCCAGGTCTTTCTTACTTACTGGTGCGGGCAGCACTGGGGACTGAACCCACAGACGTCACACTAGCTGGACCCTCTGCCTTCCTGGCACACATGGTCTCACAAGGTTTCCAGGGGAAACCTGAACTTCGATCCTCCTGCCTCAGCCTCCCAATGCGCTGGGTTTACAGGCAGGCCACTGCACCGGCTGGAAACAGTGACTGCCGAATGCTTCCCGTGTGATTTCAGTTCAAGAGTTACAACTCGTGTGTCACCCTAAACTGTCACACTAGAAAGACAAGGGATACACGCACTGCTCCTAGTACAGTGGAAGGACTCCTCCTGGCCACCTGTCAGTCCCACATGTGAGGGTCACTGAGTTCAAGGCCAGCCTGAGCAAGAGCCTTCTTAGTAAAACCAAACAAAACCAAACACCCCCAACCTCTTCTTTATTGTTTTCTCTATCTCCCATGACCCACCCAAGGAGAAACTGTTTAAAGAGCCATTTGTGGAGCGGTGACCGAGCTCAGTAACTCAGAGGGGCGAATTAGCACTCAATACTAAACGCTGTAAGAAGCACTCACTTCGAATCCCACGTTTCTTCGCTTGGCCTTCTTTATGGCTCTGGTCTTCAGCACTTCCTCGCTGGCCACGGAGAAGGTCCCCAGCTGCAGGACACAAGTTCCACAGGAGAAAGGTTAGGCCAGACGCAGAAGACAGGCAAACAGGAGAGAGAGACTTGGCAGTGTGAGGGCTCCAGGGCAGGCTGGAGGGGCCAGCTCGGCAGCCGCCACAGGGAGCACCTGCTGAGGGACGGCTCCCTGCTGCCGTGTCCTTCTCACCAGAAGCAACAATGGTCAGGTTGATCGCGCACCTTCCAGAGTCTACATGTCCAGGCATTGGACCGCCTTCAGAGAAGGGTGTCCGGAGCTCTGGACAGACTCAGACCTCGACAATGGTGAAAACACTGGCAGGGAGTGCTTCAGATAGGATGCATCTACAGTCTAAGATTTTATTAATGAACAAATTTCAGTTTTAAGAAACACAAGCCATCACCTACAAGCTGGAGGCACGGCCGACAATGCAGCCCTCCTGAATCCAGATGACGCTTACTACCGTTTCCAGTAATAAAATTTCTGCAAATCATGCTCATTTTCTTTAAAAGTACTGGGGATCAAAATCACCCCTGAATGATGCCCTACCGCCATACATGTTATTTTAAAGAACAGTCCTGCCCAACCTGCCCACTGTCCAAGAGGCCCCCATGCAGCCAGGACCCTAAGGGACTCTACTGGAAGCGACACTCCAAGCACCAAGTCTCGAACGACAGATTCACCCAAGGTTTAGTCTTTCCTTCAATCCTTACCTTACCCTGCAGGGCTGGAACAAAATGTTTCCTGTACAAAAATTCTCACTGTAACTACTCAGATCACACGACCTTAAAGGTCCATCCAAGCAAGGGGCCAGCGCCCACCCTTGCCCCAGTACCTGTGACTGACTGAAGGGGCTCTGTGACAGCTACTCCCCGAGTGGAGTTTACGCCCGTGTGTTTCAGTGTCACAGAACTGTGCATGGTGGCCTGAGTCTCACTAGAGTCAAAGAAGACTGGAGAGTCGTTAGAGACCCTGAGAAAGCACGGACACACCCGTGACTTTGGATGCTCTGGACATGAGGGTACACACACTCACAAGAGGAGCAAGCATTACGGTAAGACAGCTGTGTAAGCACAGGCGTGAAAACACGCCTGCAGATGCTTCACATTCTCTTTAACCCGAGCACGGCCCTCTGACCTTCAAAAGCTCAGAGTCCTTACTGACCTGGCCTAGGAATATCCACATATCCACTGGCTGGGGTGGCACTAGGAATGTGACTGTGATCTGTTCTTCTAAGGGGAAAATGGGTGCGATCTCTTCAAGTAAGATGATTTCCATTTTTCCAGAAAAGAAACCACAGAATAAAAATCCTGCAACTATTCACGTAATTGCTGTGGTCTCAGTCTCTGAGCACAGCAAGGGAAGGGAGGCGACAGTAATCTTCCGAAGCCTCACACTGTGAGTGTGGCGGGCTGGGGTTCCGACTGGACTTGGCACTGGCCCAGGCTCCTGGCCGTCACTCGGCCCCCTCCCTGTGTGACTGAGGCGCCCCAGGGGGAATTAAACGCCGGGAAACCGCGCTTTACCTCTTCAGCTTCATCTTCTTGATCCCAGTTCCTATCTGTCAGCTCCTTCTCGGCAATTCTTTTGGCCATTTTTTCGAACCTAAATTACAGAAAACAGGAGTAAGACCTCTACTTTTCTAGACTGAGCTATCACTCTTACAAAGAATTTTTAAAATTCATTCAAAACAGGAAATGAAACCACAAGTCTTCCTGAAGTCAATGGAACTGCTTCAGAGAGAATTTTACAACTTTAAGATCCGGCATCTTTAAAATACTGTACTAAATATACAATCAACCTTAACTTCTTACATGCAAATTATGCCTGTCATTCTGCCATTTTTATTATTTAGAATTTTCTTAAAGATGAACCATAAAATTATCCTTAGCTAGGAATTTTTAAAAAGGCATTGGAAATAATTTCATAACATGAGCCACAACTTTAGGCTCCACTGGATAGAAACAGATGTTTCCTAAGATTGAACATTTAACTGCCCCAAACTGTATCTGTAATAAGCGAAGGCATTTCTCACAAGGACAAAGTAGTACAGTGGCGGTGTGAGCACCCTGACGACAGGGAACACTCGGGAGAGAACCCTAACTCCCCAGCCCCAGGTCCTCGGGGAAGGGCAGCAGTGCCTCTGGAAGCCTCATCACCTGGCAAAGAGGGTGCGTGCGTGCACCCTCAGAACCTGCATTTAATTTTCTGATCCTAACTTGACACACTTTGCTGTTAAAAAACAGCAACAACAGACACAAGAAAAGACGCCAGAGCTGGCAGCAACGGAGGTTTGTTCTGAGTGTGGTTTCTTCACCAAATCACCAGATAACTGACCAAAAAACCAAAAACTTTTCCATTTCCTCTGCTCTGCCCTTCACACAGGAATCTACCCTTAGACCCTAGGTCAGCCCGACTCCTTCCAAATGATCTCCCAACTGACAGGCCCTTGTACCACGACCAAGAAGGTTTCTAGATCATCAGGACCATGGCAAGGGACTCTACCCATCACCTGGTGCTCTAAGGATGAAACTATTATCCACAGAATAAATTCATTCCAACATGCTCCAAAGTCTGATGCCTAAGGGTGCCCAGCTTTTAAAATTCATATGATCCTTGCAACTTCTCTTATAGATAAGCACCTTTTTCTCTGATTGCAGAATGAATGATTTTAAAGTCCAAGATTCTAAGACACAAAATATGACACTTCAAGAAGTGTGATTTGCAGCTACTACGCAGCAGTTCTCTGCTTAGTGTTTCCCCCACACCCCTGCTTCGGTGCTGCCAATATTCTCTCTCACAGGAGCATCAACAAACACGAGAGGAGATGCCACCCCTTGCTGAATTCATTGATCAGCAACCATATCTCCGGGGAATGGTCTGGTCCCCACACGACCGCCAGAGGGCGGAAGAGAGGCTGCAATGGTCAAATCTAGGGCGGGCAACAAGTCAAGAGCAACAAGAGGACAAAAAGGGGCGAACTGGAAAATCCAAAAACCTGGTAGTAAAACTTTAACTTCTAACTCATCCTTCCACCTGGAAAGGTAAGTGGTGCGTACCAAACGGGGAGTCAATTTCGCTGCTTCTTGTATTTATCAAATCAGTACAGCTCTAGGAGGCAGCAATCCTGGTTAGTTCACTGATGGACTGCAAATGCCCCAGACTGGCCAGCTCACCGATGTGAGAGCTGCTGGGAATCGCTGATCTGGGATGCCTCGTGTTTGAGAAAATACAAGACACCAGCTTCCAGTTTTGCCATTTTCTAGCTATCAGTTCCCGGATAAGAAGTTGAACTTTTGTGCCTCAGTGTCTTTCCCTATCGGACAGGAAGGAGGATTTAATGAGGGTAAACAAAAACTCAGTTCACAAGGTATCATTTTTTTCCCCTCCAACACTTAGAAAGTTGTACGGAAAACGAGAACAGCTTGAACTATGTGCTAGACCTTAAAAAATGCTTTACTAAATGTGTATTTCATTGCAAACCGTGACATTTCAGGCAATAAAATTTTCCCGTTGGGAAAGGAGGCAGGCACAGCATAAAAGCACTTATAGCTTGACATGTACGTTCCCCCCCCCCCGTTGGAACTGGGAGTTGAACCTAGGTTCTTCATACTGAGCTCGAATCCCAGGCTTTTAAACAAATTTTGGCAAAGAATCTTGCTTAATTGTCCTGGAACTTGGGGTCCTCCCGCCTCAGCCTCTCGAGTGTTACGATTTTAGGCCTGAGTCACCACCCCAGGCTACACCTCAAGCCTTTTCTGCTACTCATTCTATTATGCAGTTTACAAAATGCGTAAGAAGGTTAAAAGTCACCCCGTAGGACCGGGCTGCTCGACATGCAGCAATACAACAGGAAACTGAAAGCAGAAAACTTTGCGGCAGATAGTTAGGTAGTGTCTGCCACCTGGCGCAGCCCGCCCCGCGAGCGGGCCTCCCCTCGGATGGGAACAGATCCGACGACCCCCGCTACCGAGGCGCCTGCTAGCGGAGGGGACAGGGGCCAGCCCGGGGAACCCAAAGCCCAGCCCCAGCGCTTCTCCAAGAACCGGCCATCAAAAGACCGGGAACGCAGCGAGAGCACGCGGCCCGGCGAAGAGGTCGTGGGCGGGGAGACGGGGAGGAGGAGGAGTGGACAGTCGGGGGGACGCGGACGGGGACGGCCTCGCCGCCTGCCCGCGCTCCTACCTCCGCCGCCCGCGGCCCCCACTCCGGCCGGCTGGCCAGGTCTCCGCCGCGGCCCCCGGAGTCCGCCCGGCCCGGCCCGGCCCGGCCCGCCTCGCCCGCAGCCGCCCGCGGGGTCGCCGCTGTCAGCGCCCCGCCCTCCGCGCCTCACCTCTCCGGCGGCCGCCGCGGCTCTCGCTGGGTCGTGGGCGCGGCGGCGATCTCGTCTGAAGCGGCAACGGGTCGCTTCCGGTGCGCTGGGAGCCTCGAAGGATCTGGTGGTCCGCAAGCCCGGAGTCTCAAACACCATGTCCCCGGGGGGCCGCTTCTCTTGTGTGGTCACCACGGAGCGGAAGACACGTCCACTCAGGCAGAGACCGCCAGACACTCAGCGGCAAACACGCTCCGGGCCGCCATTTTGTAACTCGAATCAACCCCTCAAATCAGATTCGAAAAAAAGGGAGGAAATAAACGCCCGCCTCCACCTATTGCGCAAGCGCCCTGGAGCCTCTGGTGGCAGCCCCTGCTTCCTCGGGCCTCCGGGGCGCAGCGTGGCGCATGCGCAGATCCCGTTGGAAACGGTCGTCAGGTGGGGCGCGCCTTCTCACGCATGCGTAGTCGCAGGCGTCGGCTGTGGCCGCGGGGTGGACACGCAGGACCGCAGTTTACGTGCGTTGGTCACGTGTCGGCCACCGTCCTCTGAGGGCGGTTCGTCATTAGTGAGTGCCTGGGCGCGGGCGGCCTGGAGCCTCGCGAAGGGCTGGGGAGGGAGTGGGCGGCCTCGGAACCACGGGACAGCCTCGTCCCCGTCGCACTCGCGCTCCGTGAGCTTTCTCGACTGCTGCACCTTCCAGCGACCTGACCGCCGGTTAACGGCGGGGAGCAGGAGGATTACAGCATCGACGAGAAGCCCCGGCAGGTCACTCTTCGCTTGTGATTGGGGAATTCGTTCAGAAAAGGAAGATTTTTTACAGCAGTGATTGTTCACTGTTTCTGGGAGCAGGTACGGATCTACTTAGAAAGACCAGGAAAGTTTGAATACGTTTATTCATCGCAAAGTGAGTCTGTGTAATGCAGGATGTTTGAAGCCACCCTGGAAGCGCATCTTCCATGCCCTTGTCAAGACCTGGCTCATCAGAGAATGGGGTGCACAGCTGTCCCCCTTCCCCAAGCGTGGGTGCCGCCCCTGTGGATTCAGCTCACTGCAGGTCAAAAATAGCCAGAACAAAATATTGTCTGAGCTGTATGGAGTTTTTTTTTTCCTTGTCATTATTTCCTGAACAGTACAACTATTTACATAGCATTAACACTATTAACATAAGTTAATCAAGAAGGCATTGAAGGAAGCAGCTGCAGTGGGCACCTCTAGGCTACTTGGAAGGCTGAACCAGGATGGTCACTTGAGCCGAGGATATGGAGGCCAGCCTGGACAGCATAACAAGTTCCGTTTGCCGTCTCAAAAATAAAATATATAGGCCCACATATGTAAATGGGCATCTGAGGATTTTGATATCTGCAGGGGTCCTGGGGCTAAACCCCACCACCACATGTTGACAGTAAAATAAAGGAAAAAGTGGCTCCTACATTGAACATTTAAGAAAATCACTTAGGGCTGGGGGTTTAGCTCTGCCTTGCAAGCAGGCGGTCATGAGTTCAATACCCGGTACCGATAAAAAAAAAAACAAAACTTAACTTTTTTTAGTTTTTATTATGAGACCAGCTCTCCAAGTCGTTGAGTTGCCTAGACTGGAACTTTCCTTCCTTCTGTCTTAGCTTCTCACAGTGCTGGGATTCCAGGTGTGGCCCCCACACCCAGCTTGTACATTTCTACTTTGACAAGACTTTCATGCTTTCCAGGTGACTTGCATAGCATGCTTTGAGCTGCACATTCAAATACTAACCCGAGAATGCTGACTCTGGATTTTCCATCACTGTAACAAAATACCTGAGGTTGGGAAATTATCCAGAGAGAGATACTTTGCTCCCCGTACTGGAGGTTCAAGAGTCTGGCTTCAATGTCTGCTTAGTGCTCACAAGGGCATCCTGGTTGTTGGTGTCATAAAGGCAGGGAGCAATCACATGGCCAGAGCAGGGCTAGACCTTTTTCCTAGCAGTCAACTCTTGAGAGCTAACTTGGGGTCCCACTTAATCTCTTCCAAGGGTGGCTTTCAGAGACCTGATAGTTTCCCATCAGGTCACACCTCTTAAAAGAGCCCACAACAGCACTACCATGTGAGGACCAAGGCAGAACACATCCAAAGTGTATTAACAGCCTGTTTCAAGGAGATGTCTGGGTGGTGTGCTGTCCAGTGTTTCTGCTTTGCTGAACAAACCCTTCAGGATGCTACGTAGCTTGTAGAGCCAGTCACTTATTTCATGGCAGAGGTAGGACTGGAGTCCAGGTGCCACTTCTGTCCACCATGGCCTTCCATGTAGTCTTGCAATAAATACTGAGTATACTGAGTATTATCACTGTTGACTCCATAGGTTCATAGGTTCCCTCTACTCTGACGAAGATGCTCCACTGTCTCTGGAATATTCCTTTATTATCTGTTCTTTTTCTTCCCCTATTTTCCATCACTAAGCTCCCCAAACTCTACCACTATCCTTAATATACAATAGGCATTCAACTATTCACCAAATGAGTAAACTGTTTCCTGCATTAAAGAAACATCGTCCCAAACGGTTTCCACGTTCCTTTCTGACTCATAGCTTGTAGATCAGATTTTTGTCCTGTCTGTGTGAAATTCATTTTTCTCCAAGCTACTTTGCTGCTGCCTTTTGTATTGGTGACTTTTTTTTTAACTTTGAAGTACAATCACTGGTCAACTTGCTGTATGATCTCTAGGTTATTACTGTGTAAGGAGCGTAGCTTGGACTGCCATAGATTCTCTAGTATTCAACATTGAGATGTTAAAATTGCAGTTTTTATACTTGAGGTAATACAATGTTTATCACGTAAGATATAAGCAAAATCACACACTTCTTAATTATACGTTGTAGCACGAGGTGATTGATGCCTTTCTAATGCAAATTTTAGAAGATTTATGAGTGTAAGAGCACTGTGGCTGCCTTGCATGTTACAGGGTGGATTTCAGTTCTTGGGGAGAATGACAGCTTTAAGCCAGCTGTACTCAGAAGAGGAGTTGTACACGATGTCTACTCCACCAACTTTGGCTACTTTCATGTAGTGAGACTCTTGTCCCTCATTTTATGAGACTGTCACCATAATCTGCCACTATAGTTAGCCAGTTTTTCTTAAATTTGCCTTTTAAAAATCTCTTTCATGGGCTGGGGATTTAGCTCAGTGGCACAGCGCCTGCCGGGAAAGCACAAGATCTTGAGTTCAATTCCTGAAACAAAAAAAAAAAAGAAAAGAAAAGAAAAAAATCCACTGTAAAAATTCCTCTCAACTTGCTTAGTCCCTAAGAGACAAAGGATATTTATAGTTACCTAGCTGGGTTATTTTCAAATTCCTGTTCAGTAAATAAATATCCAGCCAGGTGTGCTGGTGAACACTTGCAATCTCAGCATTTGGGAGGCTGAGGCTGGAGGATGGTTGCAAGTTCAAGGCCAGCCTGAGTGACATAGTGAGTTCAAGGCCAGCCTCAATTGTACAGTGAGGCCCTGTCTCAAAAACACCTGCAAGTAAGAGGGTCAATATCCAGATATGCTGGTTTACTAGCTCAGGGCTCAGCGATGGAATACCTTCCTGGCATTTGTCAGGTCCTGAGTTCTATGCCTGGCATCAGAGGCACACCAGAAATGTAATGAGGTAGTGGAGGTGTGGAGATGGAATTGTGTGTTCCTTTCTGCTACCAAAATTCTGTAACAGTGGCTGCATTCATATTTTTGTCTTATTCCAATTGGGATATGTAACATTCAGAGCTATTGTATTTTGAAAGCTGAAAGGGCCCAGACTTTGAAATAGTGTCTTGGGTGGTTTTTTTTTTTTTTTTTTTTTTTTTTTTTTTTTTGTATTCTACTTATTATAAAATTTTCAAAACATGCAGAAAAATCAACTATATTATAATTATATGTGAGTAAAGCTATGCCCTCCCGTAAACTGGGCTCCGCCATGGGTATTGGAGGAAACCACTCAGCAAGAGGACAAAGTTTGCTCTCTTGCAAACTAGGATCCACCATGGGGACAGGGAGGCGACTGCTCAGCAAGTGGACTGCATGCCATCCCGTGAGCCAGCCCGTACACGGGCAGGGAATCCAAAAGAGCACACCTGCCCCTCCCCCTCTAAAGAAACTGGCTGACTCGGAGGAAGCAGGGTAAGATAGCAACTAAGGTGAAAGGAATTGCTTGATCTTTAAGTTGACTTTGTAGGCCTGGAGCTGGTGGTCTGGGCATCTGTTTGGAGGACAGCAATGTCCTTTGTGGCAACTGTGGGGGATTTCCTTCTGCCTTTTTTTTCATTTTAAAGGGAGTAAAATTAAACACAACAAAACAGAACAAAATAGGACAGAGGAAAGCAATGTAAGAGAGATAAATTTCAAAGCTAGACGACCTGAGATCTTCACTATCTATCCTACTGTCTCGTTTTCTTCCAAATAGTTGTCCATGTCTTCCAACACAGAGAATTTATACAAAACAACATAGTATAAAGCTGATCTGAACAGAATGAGGAAGACGATTTAGGTCTTCAAAACCAGACAATAGGGAAGTCACTAAGGCTGTCATAGAGTCTCTCATTCTCTTCAAAATAGCTGTCCACACTTCCATGTATATTGAAGTTCAACAAAACAAAACAGGCAGGGGGGAGGGGCTGCTTGGTTTCCCAGTGCTCCAGGTCCCAGCTTGGTTCGGGTCCCAGTAAACGCTGGAGGCTCCCATCCTGGGCCGCCATAGCCTGTCACACAGCCACTCACCAGGGTGGGGAAGCGTTGCTTCCAGCTGTTTCTTTCTAATGAATTAACGGTTTCACTGCCCAAGTTCTGAAATGGCCAAAAGATCATTGAAAGACGTCTCTTTAGGCTCCTGCTTGAAACCAACAGCATCAGGAAGATGCTGGCCTTGATTCAGGGCCAGTGTGTCTTGCTTTTTTTTGTTTGCTTGCTTGCTTGTTTTAAAGTGAAAGCTAAATGAATCTTGTGGATTAAACAATAAACTTCTAACTTTAAAACATTAACCACCATTGTGACACTATTGTGGCTGTGATCAAAGTCAGGTCCTATGTGACTCAGAAGGCTCAACTCCAGTTGACTCTTATAAAGATATTACAAGATGATAATGGTGAATTCCAGCTGTCTTTGGGCCTCTGTTGTTGGAGGCTGGAACCTCGAGACTGAGTCGTCCTCGCCTCGGACTGACTCGAAGACGCTGGGCAGGAGGAAGCCCAAGGAACCACACTGTGTGCCTGACACTCTGCCTTCAGCGGAGCAGCAGGGCTTCCCAGTTCCTGTCTCTGGGTTTGGCTTCTCAAAAGGGCGCCCTGGGAGGAGCCACGACATTCCCTGCACTCCTCCAGCATCTGCAGGGGCACCTTTGAGCTGCCCGTGGGCTTTACACCATGTAAAGCGCACAGGAAGGGCCTAGTGAGTGGCCCTGGCGTTAACACTGCAGCCTCTGTTTTTAAATTCTTGCAGCCTTTTCTCACCTGAACATTTCAAAAGCGTTTGATCATTCTTTCCAGTGCTAATATTTCTGATGCCTTTTAAAAACATTTTGTTGACTGGTAATGAAATGGTAATGAAATGCTAATTCACTTTGCCTTTCTTCCCAACCTGGTGTATCAGGAGCATTCATTCAGAAGTTTTGGTTTTCATACTGCCAGGACACCAAAGCACTGAGTTCCTGTGATTCTGACTGAAAGCAAAGCCCTGTGATGTTTCCAGCAGGACCGTTTTGCGGTGCGTTTGACTCATGGTTGCGGATTTGGAGACGTTGCCCGGGTCAGCAGCTCCCCTTCCTCACGGATTCTGGACAGGCTCTCTTCCAATCCAGACACACGGCTTAATGACAAGGAACCGTCAAATGTGGAGTCGTTCAGTTTCCTGTCTTAGCTCTTTCCTCCTCGCCGGGACACAATACTCGGCACAGATTATAAAGCAGGGGAGTTTTATTTTGGCTCCTGGTGATAGCCCATGCTCCCCTGGCTCTTTTCAGAACCCGGACGGATAATCGTGCAGCAGCCAGGAGAAGACCCTGGCTCAGTCTCTTCAGATCTCCGCTGCTGTTTGAAATGTGTCGAAATCCCAGCCCGCTCTCCTGGCACTTGCAGTCTGGGTTGAGTACAGACAGTCCCTGCTGACTTGAACACAGTTGCTATGGTCTGGATCTAAAACGGCCCACAAAGCCTCCTGTGCTTGGAAGTGATTGGCTTTTGGGGGACACTACAGTACAGCTGACCCGCTGCTCGGAGGTGCTCTTCATCCTGCTCCCCAAAACATTTGACGTAATATCAGTTACCTTAGTCACAGTAGCTTTGTAGTACTCTGTTTGTTCTTTCGTGCACATGTTACAGCTTGGTGCTCTCCTGGAAGCTCAATGGAGGTTTTGTGTGAAATTGTAGTTGATATTGATATGTGATACTAGTTTGCGGGACAATTTGCACTTTTAAAATGTCAGGTTTTTCTCATCCATTTGTATTACTATAACAGTTTTCTAATTTTTAGTCTCCGGTGCATTAATTGCTGCTCTGGTCTTTATCATTTCCTCTCTCATACAAACTTTGGACTCAGCCTGGTATTGTTTTTCCAGAAGTTTGAAGTTCAACATGAAGTTGTTTTGTTTTGTACCAGGGGTCAAACTCACAGCCTTGCGTTTGCCAGGCAGGTGCTTGTGGTGCTGAGCTAAATTCCCGGCCCCTGGAGCTGTTTATTTGAACTTGGAGTTTTCCCAACATGGATATTCACTGACTGCTACGCGTCTCCCTTGTACGACTGCGTTCATTGTGTCCTGTGGGCTCCAGTGTGTTGAACCATCATTATCATGTACTTACAGAAACTGATTTTTCTTTAATTTCATTTGTGACCCATTGATTGTTCAGGAGGGTGCTATTTAATTTCCATGTGTTTATGAACTTCCTGTGGTCTCTTGCCATTGATTTCCAATTTCATTGCACTATGATCTGATAATCTGTGTGGATAATTTCAATTCCTCTGTATTAAGCACATTCTAGGAGCTGGCATATGGTCTATCAAGTAGTTTTATAATTTTTAACATAAATATTTTACACATCTTTACTTTGGTACATTCCTAGGTGCCTTAAATACTTCTGCGGGGTTGTTTTGTTTGTTTGTTTTGGTAGCGGGGATTGAACCGGGCCTCACGGGTACTGGGAAGGTGCTGAGCACCTGAGCGGCGTCCCCCCCTTTGCCGTTGTCCTCACTATTTCAGACAGGGTCTCAGTGAGTGTCTCGGGCTGGCCTTGAACTTGCTATCCTCCTGCCTTAGCCTCTTCCGTAGATGGGATTACAGGTGCGGGCCAGGTCCCCAGCTACCTTTTAGGTGTCTAGAAGTTAGTTTTCTACCACTTACTGTGGGTACATAGGTGCATGATGACTTTGGATACTGATCTTATATCTTGCAGCCATCTGTCTTTGAATTCCTTGATTTTTCATGTTAGAGTCTTCTGTAAATAATGACAGTTATGTGTGTGTGCATGCGTGTGTGTGTGTGTGTGTGTGTGTGTGTGTGCGCACAGGTGTGGTCCCACAGTGCACTGAGAGTGCATGGGGTGGCTTACCAGATGCGATGGTAACAAGATGTGTGTGTGTATTTATGTATTTGTGGCGGGGAGGCCTGAGCTAAAGGCCTTCACACTGGGCTGCACCCCAGCCTGTTTCTCCTTGTGTATTTTGAGGCCGGGTCTCACTAAGTGGCCCAGAGGAAGGCTGACCGTGCCAGGGGTGCAGCTCAGGCAAAGTGCTTGGCTGGTGCACGTGAGGCCCTGGTCTAGCATAACAACAAAAAGGCTACTTTACTTAGGAAGCTACAACCAAAACGTGGGTTCTGGGAAGAACAGGCTTAGCCCATTCGGGCTTCAGTGCGTTGGTAGTGATCTTGGCTTTCTCAGTGTCATAGGCAGTGACACCCGTGCCCCACACTGCATTCAGGCCACAGCATTCTGCATGTCTTGGAAGATGGTTTCAAACAGGTGTTCTGGGGCTATTGTGGGACCCTCCTCAAGGGTCACATGCTTGCTCCTGCTTATAAACTGTGTCTCAGAAAGGCATCGGTCCAGCGCCCCAAACCCTGGTGTCCTGTGCTCTTAACAGCCCGGGGTCAGCACCCTTTACATCTTTTCTGCAAAAGGCATGTCGTTAACTTGCATGAGAGCCCCCTCTTCTGTTGACAGGCTCCTGCACAGCCTTCACGACCCAGCCTGTGCCAGCTGCTGCCACTGCTGCAGAGCTGGGCTCCTATGTGTTCATCCCCCCCCCCCCCCCGCCGAGTTCCCACAAACCAAAGTGGGCCGCAGGGGATTTATTCTAATTTAGGACTTGTGTGGGAATCTTACAAAATCCACAAAGACCAGAGATCCCCCCGCTGAACCGCACATTCGCATACCTGGCTTCTTGTATGGTCTCCAATTAGAGGTCGAACGGGTCCTCTTAATTCCAAGTCTGCTCTGCAATATCTCCTGTGACTCTGCCTGCTGTCTGCCTCTCCCAAACTCTCCCCATCTGGGTGATCTGCACACATCTACTCTTAGGGTAGAACCGATCCCCAAGACGTCAATTGGCTCTCTGTCCAAGACACACGTCCCCAGGCTAGCCATGTGGTGGTTAACTTTCTGTGTCAGCTTGGCTACTGGTATCTGGATACTTGAATAAACACCAGCCCAGATGACTCTGTGAAGGCATTCTTTTAAGGGAGAGGTTAATGTTGAAATGTACAGACTATAAGCAAAACTAATAATACACGTGGGCCTCATGCAATGAGTTGAAGACCTAAAGATCGAAAACAGTCTTCTCTGAGAAAAGGAATTTTTCTAACAGCTCACCCCTGAACACCAACTTCAACCCTTCCTGGGCCTTCGGCCTGTAGCTTACACTGCAGATTTTGGGACTTGTCAGCTTCCACAGTTGTGTGAGCCAGTTTCTTAAAATAAACTTCTCTTTAGAGAAAAGAAGGGATACTCACAGCAAGTGTAGTGTTTGTTTCTCTAACTGGCCATGTGGTCATAACCAGCCCTCAAACTGCCTCCTTCCTCTGTCCTTCCTTAATCTTTGTCTTCCACAAGCATCTCAGCGGGCAGTGGTTCTCCACCTGGTGGGATGACCCAAACCTTCACTTAGACAGGGCCCTGGCTGCTCACTGTCCTGCCTGGGCTGGACGGTCCTCGCTCTCCATTGACTGTCACCCGGGCATGGTACTAAGGAACTCCTCGAGCTTCTAAATGTGTCTCTACACACAAGATGGACAGGCGAAGAAATTGAGACTCTGTCCTTGTCACTTTGAGCATTAGTGACTGCAACTCTCTTCACAGCTTCATCTGTGGTGTCTTTCTCTTTTATTGTGGTAACACAGACATAACATAAAATTTGCTAGTTTAACCTAAGTGCATAATGATGTAATGTATTCACTCTGCACTGTCACCAACACCACCCATCTCTAGAACTTTTCCATTTACCCAAAGTGAAGCTTCCTACTCGTGGAGCAGCTCCCTCTTCCTGTCCCTTCCAGCCCCTGGCAACTGCCCTGCTATGTTCTGACTCCATGAATGTCTGCTTCCCTATCATGCAGTCCTCGGATACTGGAATCACGTACTGTTTGTCCTCTGGAGTCTGGCTGATTTCATGTAGCAGAATGTCTGGAGTTATCCCAGTTCTGGCATGTGTCAACATTTTCTTCCTGTTTACGGCCATTGTATGCTTAGATTCCTTTTGTTTATCCATTCATCTGCCCATGGGAAGTTGAGTGGCTTCTGCCTTTGGGCTGTTATGGATAATTCTGCTATGAATATGGACATACAAATATGTTTGAGACCCTGCTTTCAGTGATTTCTGCATATTCACAGAAGCGGAATTGCTGGATCATGTGATAATTTTAATTTTATATTTAAGTTTTTGAGGGACTGTCATACTCTTCCCATAACAGTTTCTCCATATCCTTGCCAAACACTTATTTCTCTTTTTGTTGTTTTTTTAATAGTAGCCATTCTAATGGTAAAAGGGAAAAACTGTAAAAAAGAAATCATTTTTTAAAAATTTGCTCTCTATAGCTGCTTCCTGACATTGTAATTACTTTTTTGTTGCCTGTAACCACAAGAGTGTAACCCACCATGCAGGATGCCTGATGCACCACTCTACCAAGCTTCGTGAACTGATGACCATTAACCTACCCTTGTAACTGATGAACTCACCCTGCCAGCTGGTCAGAAGGACTGCCAAGCTGTCCTGTCTCACCTTTGTACCTTCTTTGTACTTCCTGCCTGTGCATCATTACAAGCCGTGGAACACCAGAGATCAGGGCCTGATAATGTGGGAATGATCCTGATCAGTGCCCATTGATGTAAATAAATCTGCCTCCAAATTCTGGAGTCTTTTCAGTGTTTCTGCTGCCATTACACCTGGTGCATTGGCCAGGAAGATGGGCCACGCTGACCTCCTTGGCCTCCAGTGGTAGCCCCTGCAGACGGGGCAAGGACCTCTTCAGTTCCTGATGGGAAGGTGCACCCTCAGGATTTCTCAAGTCCCCTTGGAAGTCTGGAGGAAGAGTCCTGGCTTCTGACTCGAGTGGTTCACATTGGATCCCAAAAGGAGAAGGATGCAGTCTCTCTGCCTGCCTGCCTGCTTGCCTGCCTGATTCTGATAATTGCCCTGGTGGCACCCAAGTCAGTCAGTGGGTCAGTCCTACTTACTTTGAGCAGAAGGAGAGCGTGATCAACTCTTGTTAGTTGAGGCCACCCTCGAGGGAAGGGGTTGGAGTGTTTATCATCTGGGTGTCTGCTGAGTGATTGTGTGAGTCAGGGCATGGATAGTGTAAGCTGCAGGCTGCTCCGTCTGTGCACCAGTACTGGGCACACTGGTCAGGGTGGCTGAGTGGACCCGCAGTTCCATGACGATTGACAAGTGACGTAATGGAGGCCTCGCACCCTCCTTAGCTCAGTTACAACTCAGTCCCCAAGAGGGACACAGCCAGTGGGGCACCTGAACTGCCACTCTCTAGTGGGTACTCAGCCTTTGTTGCTCCCAGGGAAACGGTTTAGACTGTTAAACCGCTAAAATACACCTCTTCTTCTGTGAAGCCGCTTCAAGGTCCCTGAGCTGCCAGTGCCACTGCAGCTGCCCCCTGTGTACACAGCCTCAGTCTTCTGCCATGCACGCCTGCCGGGGCACTCCCTGGACCTACCAGTGCCCTCTTCTGCCTTCAGTTGGCTCCTCTCAGCCAGCTCTTCTTTGCAAGTAACCTAGAATCAACCTACCAGAGGTTCAAACAGTGGTTTGTCCTCTTTGGAGAAGCCCTCGCAGCTGATCTCACTAATTCCCCAGAATGACACCCAAGATGCCTGCTGGAAAGACACAATATCTGGCAGAAGCTGGTTACCAAAACAAAACAACAACAACAACTGCACAGATTTCTGAGAGCTGCTGGCTTCTATAAAATCTGGATCCTCGAGTTCACAAAAAGAATGATGCGTAATCAGAGTGTCAGCCCCTGGAGTTCCAGGTGGCCTAGCTGTGCAAATACTCGGCCACTGTCCTTCTGATCAAAGAAGCTGACAAACTGACTTTACACCAAGACCTAATTGTCCAGGTGCCACATGCTGTGCTGGACCTCACCCAGTACCAAGGGCTCTTAGCCAAAAATACCCACCTGTCTCTTTCATGTATCTGCCCATAGAGCTGAGCCCAACAGACCACGACCACCCGACACTCTCTAATAAACTGCTCTTGAATAGTCAAACTTTAAAAAGTAACCCTGTGGACAGATGCTGGGTACACCTTGTTTACAGATGGAAGCAGATGTGCTAGGAATGGAGTCCAACCGGCTGGAGATGCTGTGCTCACCTTGAACAAAGCTCTTTTGGCCAAAGCTCTCCTGTACTGCTTCCTGCTCTGTTTGGAAACCTGCCACCAAAGCAAAATCATTCATTCTGAGGCCTACGCCCACTCTGGGGATCCAATTGACTGAACCATCATCCCCAGCCAGAAACTTTACCCAGAATTCCTGGAAGATCAGAGCCAGACCCGCCCCACCATTGTTGTGTTGTTCTGTAAGTTCAAGCTGCAGTGCT